CGTAGAACCCTTTTATAAACAAAATGAGCTACTCCTATGACAACTAGTACATTCTTTTGAAAAATAAAAACCAATCTCCTTTTCAAGTGATTTAGATTAGTTCCGTTAGGTCTTCGTTAATGCTATGCTACTATTACTATACAAGTCTTTGACATCATGTAAAAACGACTGAGGACAGAATATTAGACTTTAAAGCCAAAATAAAAATCTTCGCATATTTACTTTTCTAATAAGTCCTCTTTTTCGTTTTTTCTGTACAGAGGTATTAAATTAAAAATATTTGAGTATGAAACCAAAAATATCCATTTTCATATATAATCTTTCTATTTAACTAGACTGCAATTGTTATCTAATGAAATTGTGATATCACTACCATCGTCATGTTTGTTAAACTAACATTAAAATTGGGTCGGGAGTGAAAAACCCAAGAAGAATGTGGAGGGAAAACTAGAGAAGAAGTATAAAAAAAAGGGGATAAATGCGCATGCAAGCATGCAGATACTAATACACACTAATTTACAAACTTACTTATTTGTTTATAATCTCTATAACCCTACATAGGAGGAATGGGCAGCATCTGCTCAGATCTTGGGATTGCAATTATTTAATTTTCTTAGTTAAATACTCACACGCTTATACACATATTATAAACAAATAAACATGGTATTAATTATATTGTAAGTGTCCGCTTACAGTTAAGTATAAGAGTGTGGGGGTTACTGCCATTCCAAGCCAGCAATCCAATAGGGTTATGTTATGATGAGTTCTTAATTGTAAAAGAAAAAGACTAAATAAAAAGCTCAATATCATAGTTTCATACTATACCTTATGATAATGATACATTTAGCTTATAACTTCGACCACAAATTTATTGGAACTCTTTTCAGAGTTTATTAAGTGGGGTGATGGAGTCTCTTAGATTTTTTTTCTTTTCTTTCAAGTGGGATATTCTAGATTGATAGTTCGCACTAAAGTTTTTTAAAACCAACTATAATATTAGACTAGATGTGTTATTAATAATGATTTTTTACTTTTTGGTCAAGTTATGAGTTCTGATGATGGATCAACATTAGAGGTTTTTGGTTGGTGATGTTTTTGATCTTGCAATTGCTTTCACTTCTAACTTTGTCAATCAGCGAAGCAGTTCGAGCTAGATTGAAAAACGAACGAAATTATAATCTGTCGAAATTATATTCAAATCATTTTCTAATTTCTTATCATACCACATCTTTTGCCGTGTTAAACGTACTATGTATTTCTTCATTATCCAGAACATATTTGTCGTTTACATTTCTATCAGCACTTCTTTATAGTGTTTTTTAGTGAAAAACAAAACTATAGAAGAATAACATAAAAAACAAATTTTAAAAACAACAAAATTAAAAAGAAAAAAAACAAATGAATTATCCATTAATGCGACAATATATATATATATATATGGAGCGATAACACCAAGTGGAATTAGAAAGAGAAAGTTACACAAGAAGATGGGAGAAAGCTTTAGAATTTTCTTTTGAATAAAATTATATTAAAAAAGGTTAAAATGAATAGACGGGAATAAAAAAGAGAAGAAATGTTTCCTATGCAAAGAACACGAAGAAGGTTGTCTACATAGGGAGGGTGAATTGGGCTACATTGGTAATAAAAGCCATAACTCACTTTGTGTTTCTTATTTCAATCATCAATGGCACATTGCTCCATATCCCAGACATCATCATCTCTTTAACTTCTTCATTCTATATATTATTAAATTTGTGTTGTTATATATATTAGTGTACCCATAACGTCTCCATGGTTCCATTAAATTATATTATTGGGTTTTTCTTGTCTTGGTTATTTTTGGTTATTTCTTTGCATGAGTATCAGTAAATAACGTTTGTACCCATCTTACACTGTCCAGATATAAGCTGTCCATTTTTTGACTATCTTTATATCGAAAATGAATTATTTGTCCTATTCTTGATAAAGGGGGGAAAAAGTGAGGAAGCTTTATCACTGAATCAATTTTAAAAATTGTAAAACTGATTTTTGTTTCATTGAGCGCTTTTTTTTAAGAGATACTAGATTCTTTATTGTTTATAATATTTTTTATTATTTAACAAAATTTGTAATATAATTTGTGTTTTTGAGTTTAGATATAATTATTTTTATAAATATATTTTTTTAATAAGCAAAAATATTGATTTTTGTGTTTAGATATATTTTTATAGTATTAAAATTAACTATGATTATAAAAATATAATTTAACCCGTCCGCTAATATCAATTCAAAATGAACTATTATAAAAACATAATTCTAATTTTTCCGTTCATATTACTGTATAATATAAATATTTGTTAAAAGTTTGAGATGTATTAACAATATTATTTAGCATTATAGTTTTCTAAAATTAATCAACGAAAGGAGTGTATAACTGATTTTTCAAACCACATATAGTGTATGCAATAATTTTTAGTTTTTTATGTTTTGATTTTGTATGAAAAATATATTTTCGATATACATGTATAATTCAAAATTAGTGATATTAGTTACCAAAATATTTTTAACCCGGTTTTTATATATATTTTTAGTTTTATGAATTTTAAAAAATATATTTTTAATATTTAAATTATACATTTGAATTTTACCAATTATTTTATTATTAATTTGTAAATAAATCATAATCGTAAATATATTATATAAACAACATAAATATCATATCATTTACATCATTATAAATATCTTCTATTTCAAATATGACCATTATTTTCATATGTGAATTTTTTTTTCAAAAATTCTAGATATTTTTGATAAAAATGTTTAATAGTATAGAAATTATTTAAATTAGAATCTTTAAATCAAATCTAAATTAATATCTGATTTATTATTTTTAATCAAATCAAATCAAATTTAAATTACCTATATTTAAGGAACTCTAAAAATATTTAAATTAATAACTAATTTTCGAAATTAAATAAAAATAATTATTAAAATTATTTTTAAACACTTAAAAAAATTAAAAGTGTTTGGAAGCAAGTACTAAATGTGCTTCTGTTTTAATATAATAGATATCGCAAGAGGGCTTTATTATATTGGTATAAAAGAAATTTACTGCATAATTGACAGTAAAATCATATTTTGTTATTTATGGCATGATAATTATCATGGTGTTCATTACTTAATTAACGGAACATGGTATTCATTAATGTAAGTGTATTAGTTAACTTAATTATCCACATATTATAGGTTCTGCATATTAATTTACTTCTCTAGTATGCTATTTATAAAATAAAACATACAAGAAGAAACTTCATATATATATGTATAAAATCTGTTTTTACATGTTTCTTTCACTTCTTTATTCGTTTGGACATCATGTATATTATGGCAAGATCTTATGGAGTCGAGGAACCATTTTTTCACATGTCCATTTTCAGCTTAAATTTGGGAGAAGCTGAAACGACGTAGCCTCAAATATAATTACGCCACCGATTGGGATGTCATTACTACGATTATCTCGAACCCTATACGCAAGAGCGTATTGCAGTTTTCATTTTGAGCTATGTTCTTTATTCCACGGTTTGTAGCATATGGAGAAAAGGAAATGGCAAAACACATGAAAATGTTATGTCTACACCAGTTCGACTAGCCACATTTATCGATAAGAATATAAAGAATTGAGTCAGTTCGATACAAGTTTCGAGAGACAAAACACACGAGGAAAGCCTCATATTTTGGTTTGATACAAAAATACAGTTGAAGTTTGTGAATATTTGATTTTTTACTTCTCAGAAAAGTGGAAAACTTCAACGTGTATTAAGTATTTAAGTGATAAATTATTTTTTAACCAAAAAGGTAATTATTTATTTAATCATTAGAAATAGGAGAAATTGACATTTGTTTGAGGATTAGATAGAAATGCCATGTTTTTTGTCAAAGTAGAAACGCCATGCATGCCCATCTTAAGGATTCATGATATATCGTGTTTAGACTCCGAGGACTTATTAAGTGCTTGTTAGAAATCACATGTTTTTCATTTGTATTGAATTGCTTTAATCAGATGTACTTTGTTACAAATAATTTTTCTCTTAGGTGATATAATTGGAATATAAATTTGAGTAACTATAAGAAAATTATCATCGCAGATTTTGTATTTGACCTATTTGCAGTGAGATTTCGTGGAAACAATGTAAGCAAACACAACATACAAATAATTTTTCCCTTAAGAAATTTTGACGCAATACAGTTAAAAAATAATGTATCACTTAAATACTTAATACATAATCTTTTTTTCTTCTTCCAAAATAGTCAGGTGTTCGTAAGTCTATGTATCTTTCTCTCTGTCTCAGCAGTACACGAGTTTGTCCAACCATAAGGTCCATAACGAAGGTTTACCTTGATGATCATAACAAAAGTTTCTGGTACGAGGAAAATAATAACGATATATTTTTTTTGGGACCAAAATAATAACGATATTTAAGAGGAAAATTAACACAAGGAAGAACTTGGTCACGCGTGCCAACATGAGCTGTATGTGCGGGTGGTGAACGACGCGCGTGCTTTAATCTCTCACGTGTGAAGACCTCAATATTAACAAATCCATTTTTTTGTAGGGAAAATACCCCCATAAAGGAATATTTTTTTAAAATTCCATATGCTTTATTTCTTTATTTCCCATAAAATATGTATTAGTTCGTATAAATGTAGGTATAACATTATGTTTTGATATTTCTAGAAAATAATTTTTTTCTTTAGGTTAAAATTTTTTTACCAAAAAGTCATTTGATTTTTTAAAACACCATATCTTTTTTTTTCTTTCTAGTAAAACATTTCAAAAGTGTTTCTAAGTTTTACTAATCGCTTTTCTCAAAATTTTGTAGTATTATATTAACTGACTAGTGTCGTCGTTCCAAAAAAACCCAAAAAAAGTAAGTAATTAAAAAATTAAATTAGATCAATGACGAGCATGACGAGACGACGCACTATATAACAACAATCCTTGAGCCAGGAACATTAGTGGTGAAGATACAATACAACACCAGGAGAAAAAAAAGAGTTTGGAGATTTCAAGTAGGTTTCTTTGACACTCGTATAGAAATTAGCTTCTTGTGCTCAAAGAAACCTTTACCTTTTAGAAGTTGGAGATCAGAATCAATGGAGATCAAAGCTGAAACGATGATGCAAAAGTCAAAGTTCAGAAGAATCTGCGTCTTCTGTGGAAGCAGCCAGGGCAAGAAGAGTAGTTACCAAGATGCTGCTGTTGATCTCGGCAACGAACTGGTAATACATATATGACTTTCAACGTATTCATGTCTTTGATTCTTGTGGTGGATTTTGGGTTAAGACTTAAGATGATGTGCTTCTTTGCTTTCATCATGTTCTACAAATTTGTAATTTTTTGTGGGTTTTGATAAATTTATGTTCACAAGATATGTGTCTGTATAATTTTGCAAATGCAGAGCATTTTTTCATTCTTCTTTGAAACGTGCCAAATGATTTAAACTTTGGAATATTGTGCTTGCTGCTCTGTTATACGGGTTTTAATCTCAAAGCTTCGATTTTTCTGTCTTCCACTTATTACCAAATTTAGGCTTCATGTGAAACTCTGTTTTTTTTTGGTCGCAGGTTTCAAGGAATATTGATCTAGTCTATGGAGGTGGGAGCATAGGACTGATGGGTTTGGTTTCACAAGCTGTTCATGATGGTGGTCGTCATGTTATTGGGTAACTTTTTTATCAGCCACAGCCCTTAAAATTTCATTAATCTCTTTTCTTAACAAATTTGTGATCGTTATTGTTAAGATCATACAAAAGAAAACTATCTCCCGAGTTTGTGATGGAACACCATTGTTGGGCTATGTTGTTGATTACTTCTAATTAAACCTCTTTTTGTCATCTTGTTGTCACTCTACAGAATTATTCCCAAGACCCTCATGCCTAGAGAGGTATGAACTTTTCATGTTTTTTAAAACTAAATAAACATTGTTATTTGTTATTACTTCTCTAAATCCCCATTCAAACCATATTTAATCTTCAACAGTCTTTGCTTCGGTTTTACTCTTCTCCCTATTTATAATTACCTTTTCTTAAGTCATGATTATGAGTAATTTCTCTTTTCTGCCTCCTCTTCTTCCCTTTAGGTATCCTAAAATAAAATAAAAATATCTTCTATTTTTCTTTTATTTTAAACAAAAGGGTATTTGAAGAAAATGATGAAAAAGTGGTTAACTAGATTAGGGCTCTGTGAAAAATAAAATGGAGTATGTAAGAAATTTCAAAAACAGCCAAATATTTACGATTACTTGCATTGCCATCATTGCTTTTGCCTGTAGAAGAGTCCAAAGCTGCTTTTTCCCTTTAACTACTTTTAATTATTACTTCCTTTTATTTAAAAAATTGGTGGATGGATGCTCTTTGTGTTTTGGCAGTTGACTGGTGAAACAGTAGGAGAAGTAAGAGCAGTTGCAGATATGCACCAAAGGAAAGCTGAGATGGCTAAGCACTCTGATGCTTTTATTGCCTTACCAGGTTTTGTTTTTAAACCCCCTCCACCCAAATTATCATCATTTTATTTCCTTTTTTATAAAAAATAATAAATTATTTATAAACCTCAAAATTTTGCTTTTCTTTCAAACAAAGCAATAAGTAAAACTGGTCAAACTCTAGTGACATAAGGAACCTCAGGAACACCAGCTTAGGCCTTTTTTTAGCTTCTTAGAAAATTGTAAGGGAAATCAAAATGTAAAAGGATGATTATTTGTTCATGAAAATAAAAGAAAATAAAATAAAACTGATTTTGCAAAAGAGAGAAGAAACGAATTTGGTAAGAACATGATTTCTTGGTCAAGCTGCAGATGTGAAAGCAACTGTGAAAGGTTTTATTTTTTTTTGTATGGAAAATGTAAAATAATAAAAGTCACCAGAGTCTAAGATAAAGGCCTTGACCCATCAACATCTGGCACTAAAAATTAGACCTTTTATTTTCTCTTCTCTTTACTCTGTTTATTGCTCTGCTTTTAACTTAGGGGGTACTCTCTACATAGCTTGTGTAGTCATACCGTGACCAAAGTTTTCTTCTTACCCATTTCAAGTTAAGAGACAAAACCTGAAACAGTCCCACAAATAGCATATCTTTGCCCACACTGAATCTGAAATCATTAATGGAAAGTCAAGTTCTTTCAAAGATCCTACTTTTGTAATCATATTCATACGTACCGATGTACAAACTGTAACAGAGATGAAGAAGAATCTATTATTTGGTTTTGTCTTGTGCATGACTCACTTGTTGACTTGACCATTAACTGATTAATCTCCTCTCTCTATTTTTTAACAAATCAAATCTAAAGTTTTATGTAAAATTTGCAGGTGGTTATGGAACACTTGAAGAATTGCTTGAGGTCATAACTTGGGCTCAGCTTGGAATACATGAGAAGCCGGTAAAAAACACTCATATCTTCAAAGTTTCGAATTTTATTGGAAAATTCAAGCACCAAAATCATCTAAACAAATTTTCTGCAGGTGGGTCTGCTCAATGTTGATGGATACTACAACTCTCTGCTCTCATTCATCGACAAAGCCGTTGAAGAAGGATTCATCAGTACGACTGCTCGTAAGATCATCGTTTCTGCTCCTACTGCGAAAGAGCTCGTGAAGAAGCTAGAGGTAAATTCAAGAAAAAATGGAATGTTTCTAAATTTCTTCACAATCTTATACATTGTCATTGTTGTTGTTGTTGTTGTGCAGGAATATGCACCTTGCCATGAAAGTGTTAAGCTTTGTTGGGAGATGGAACGGATTGGAGAATGATCAAGATCAAGATCTAATATATCTATATAACTATATTTTATATTTAGATATGGAAATGTCGGATATTTTCACGATTTATCTTACTAAGAAAAAGGAAGGAATTAGATTTGATTAGTTGGGTAAAGTAAAAATTTCCACTGCGGAGGAAATTATTTTGTGTAAATTATTAGTACTGTATTTTTAACTGCAAACTCAATTATTTTAATTCTGTAAGAGCCCCAACTGATCGTCTATGTAACCAAAAAAAATTTCACATCTTTGTGTTCATCTCATATCTTCTCGTAGAAAATCAATACAAAAACAAATATTTAGAAATATATCCAAGATTTTGCATAGTCAATACTCAATACCAGAGATTGTCTCCTAATAACAACAACAACAACAAAAAAAACACAGGAAAAACAAGACATTTAACAGGAAAAACAAGACATTTAAAAAACAAGACGTTTATAAGAGGGAAAAAAACAAAATATAGCAAATAATTTTGAGTGTTTTTTCCTAGCGATTTACATTTCATACTAATTTAAAAAATATACACTGGATCAAAATAAACTCAAAAATTATATCATACATATGTACTCAAACAGAAGTTAGAAAATCAATCAACCGATATTAATACTCTGTTTTTGTGGATGTTAAAGTCTTTTTACTCTGTTTTTGTGGATGTTAAAGTCTTTTTTATATTGTTTTATACTAACTTTTAACGTCGGTTAATGGATGTGATTTTAACATTAAAGCATCTTTTTGTTTGTGAGCAATAGTAATTTAAAAGTTAAGGAATCAAAACACATCACATTAATTATATTTTTTTTTAAAAAAAAAGAGAGGATATTTTAATTTGGCAAGTCAATCAATATTCAGACAGACGCAGCCAAATTCGCAGTTTTTGGTTTTAACTGTTTGAATTTTGCGTTAGCATATGATGAACGTGAGCCGACCGGCGATTCATCCGGTGGATGTGATTCCGGTGACTCCAACTGGCGGAGCTAACGATAGACCACCAGTGAGGATGAAGGATGTTCAGGGCATGCCCGGAACCACCGGCGGTCTCATCCTCCGCCTCTCTCAGTTCGTCCCCGCTCTCATCTCCGTCTCCGTCATGGTCACCACCTCCGATTTCCGCTCCGCCACCGCATTCTGGTAATCGAAACTCTAGACCCACCCCAACAGTCTGATTTTAGATTCTCGAAATGTTAGGGATTTTGTTCATTTCTTGATAACTGTTGATGATTTGGAGTAAATCCTCACCGGTTAATGTGAAATTAAGTTTTTTTTTTTGCTCATCTAATTGTTTTGAAGTCGAGATTTTGTCCTTTCTTGTTCATTTGTTTATAGGATTTTTGAGATGATTTTTGTTCTCATGGGTCTACTGAGTTCATGTGCTTGTAGAGCGAATTCAGGAATTGGATGTAGTTGAGCAATTTGGTTTAAGACAATAAGAATCTGACAAGACATGATATTAAAATTCTCATTTGTGACAGTTGCTTGGTTCTTGCGGTTGGCCTGCAAAGCATGTGGAGCTTGTCTCTTTTTGTAATCGATGCTTATGCTCTTCTGGTGAGAAGAAGCCTTCGGAATCACTTTGTTGTTCAATGTTTCACAGTTGGAGATGGAGTAAGGACCAAAATCAACCTCCCTCTATCTCTTTTCGATATCTGAAAATTTCGCTATTGTCTCTATTAAATCGGGGTCATCAGTTTCTAAGTTTGAATACCAGCAAGCATCAAGATTTGCACACACCACTCGCTATGTTTTAATTGGTTATTAAGAGGCATCAAAGTGACTGTCTTTACATCTCAACATTGTTGCAGATCACATCGACACTTACGTTTGCAGCTGCGTCTGCGTCTGCTGGCATAACCGTACTCATCAACGATCTTGATAAATGTAACGTCAACCACTGCACAAGGTTCGAGACAGCCACAGCGATGGCCTTCATCAGCTGGTTTGCTGTGTCTCCTTCCTTTATTCTCAACTTCTGGTCCTTAGCCACGCTATAAACGGGACACAAGATTTAGAGTAAAAGTTGGGAGAAATCTATCTGCCAAGTATAATGTAAATAAAGGGTGGAGTGTAATCATTGTTCGATTTAGCCAATGTTTTGGAACAGATATTAAATCAGAAAACCACAGTATTAGAAAACATTTTGCGTTATTGGCCCGACTTATGATGTCACTTTCCCTTAAGTCATGGTTGAGTTTGGGTGAATATGATGCTGAAACCTAACTTATTCTAGATTTCAAGTTATAAGCATGAACATGCAGATTATATGATTTGCTAATTTTGTGTGTTTTTCGTTTTGACTTATAAACTAGCCGAAATTATATGTCAACATTTATATATGCCCCCGAAGACATCACCGAAACCTAGTTCCTCTCTTATCCTCCCGTCGCTTGTTTCCTTCAGTTCTCTCTGGGGTTTCAGTTTTGACAGTAAAAGAGGTTATCGATTCTGATTTTACCGTGTCAATGATGATGCGCAACATGGCGATGCTGGGAAGAACGTTTGTGTGGTGACACATCAACAGCTGTCCGTTGGTTCACCACTGTCCGACGGTCGGGAGTCGTTAGTCCGGAAGGCTCGTAAGACTTGTCTACTGTCCTTGCAATTACCACATGATCTTTTCCCGTGCTTTGTCCTCACTCGCACGGTACCGCAGAGTACTTCCCGGTAGCTCACCCATCCTGAGACTACTCAGGCATCAGCACGCTTAACTTTGGAGTTCTCTCAGCACACTTGACTGGAAAAGATAAGTGCACTTTGTTGACATAGATAGCCAAATCAATTCTTATAAGCCTTTCCGACTACCCGAAAATCGGGATGTTACAGTTTTGATCCGTGTCTGGTCGGTCGGAGAATAGAAACGGCGTTGAAGAAACCAGGCTACTATGATCCTGTCACCATCACTGTCGTTGGTGACCTAAATAAGAGCCCTAATGAAGACGTGCTGCGAAAGCTTTCTTCCAGTGGAATCGCTTTTATACATGCCCCTCGTTAATCTTCTTTCTTTCTCTTTTTCAGTACAAGCACAAATGGATTTTTTTTATAATTAGGGTTTTAGGTTCAACGTTGCTTTCCTTTTACTGAAACAGAAACTTTAATAGCGTTGTATGAGTGGACCTGTCGAAGAAAGTGGAATCCATCTCAGACTAGTTTAATGCTCATATTTGGTGGTCGTAATGACATGGACCTGTTAGCTGAGGATATTAAAGAACTAGGAGATGACGGATGCAGATTTCTTCTGGCATATCATCAACGATTTCGAATCTCGCACTGGAAAAGATTTCTGAATAATGTTCATAAAGAGTGGCTCTGGAAAAGCTTACTGTCTGCAGGTGTTTGTTTTGTCCTCTCTCTCTCTCTCTCTCACTGTGTGATCTCTCGTTCCAGCAAAAACAAAGCTGTTTCTGAACTAATTTTGTTTTTATTTTTTTCCTACAGATGATGATATGGATTCAGGGTCTGCGGATAATAAACACCAGACAACAAGGCTTGTTCTTCAGGACAAGTACACTTGAATCTCCCTTATGGTGCAGAGTATGCGATTTTGCTGGCAAAAGCTTTGAAGATTTCAGCACGCATCTCAAGAGTGGAACACATGGATATTGGGTAAGCCTCTCTCTCTCTGCTAGCTTCTAAATATTGTTCTCAAAACATTTTTCATTTAATGTCTTTTTACCACAATATTACCCTTTCAAAGAAAAATGCCCTGACGTGCATTTGGTTGTTGTCAAGCAGGAGTGGGACTTATGGGCTAGTAAGAAGAGAGTGGATCGTACTTTCCCTGAAAACTTTGTATGGGGTCGATCAAAGGCAAGTTTTTGATATCTCTCAAGTTGAGATTTCTCATTTTTTGGAATTTACAGTTGCGTTCAACTAGAATACCCTTTTCACAACTTACCTTTATTATGTCATTGTCAAAAAGGTTCCCTTTCAAAGAAGATACCTCTCTCTGCTTTCCGCTTAATTTGCATTTGGTTGTCAAGTAGGAGTGGGACAAGCTCAATCTTCCGTATGAGCCTCTAGAGATTACCGTGGTGGAGAGTCCATCAAAGGCAAGTTTTCGAGATTCCTGATTTTTTTTTTTCCGGAATTTTCAATTGAGTTCAACTTAACCCACAGATGTGTAGTAGATAGCATGATTTTTGGATTTGCTGACTTTGGTTGATGCAGAAACAATGAAGGAAAAGTGCAAGAAGGAGAAGAAGCTGAAGGGACCCCTAACTGTGAACTAGACGGTGAAGAAGAAGAAGAGTACAAGGCTCATGGGGTGGTTGTTCTTATCTAAAGCACATTTCATATGGTTTATGGTTTGTTCTACTTCTAGTGGGAATTGTTGTGTTACTTATGCTTATTTTCTATCTAGTCTCGTTTTTTTTCATTTCAAGTTAACTAACATTTTTATCAACATCTTCTTCTTATGTTCATTCTCGTTTACCATGATTTTACATATGGCGGTCGTACATATTAAGTGGATAGTAGTTTTCATTGGTCTTCAATTGATTAATAATGCATTGATTAATAATGCATTGATTAATAATGCGACAAAAACGTTTTTGTGTACAGTAATGAAGTGGTTGACAGAAAAAAAATAACGTTCGAGGTAAACGCATCAAATTGGAACATCAAATTAATCGTTGGAACAATTTTCAAAAGCCAAATGGGCTTCACTCATTTTGTCAAATATTTAAAGAGAATGGACCATTGAAACTGTTTGAATTTTAGATTCTCGAAATGTTAGGGCTTTTGGTCGCCTCTTGATAACCTACCTTTGATAGTAATTCTTCACCGTTTGAGGTTTTTGCTTATCTAATTGTTGTGAACACAATGTTTTGTCCTTCTTGTTCATTTGTTTATAGGATTTTGAGATGATATTTGTTCTCCTGGGTCTACTACGTTCATGTGCTTGTAGAGCCAATTCAGGAATTAGAGTTAATAATATATATAAAAAAGGTGATTCATGTGGAATCTTGAGGCTAAGTAAACTAGGAAGAGATTGGGAGTGGTTGGGTTTTGGGTGAATAGATGATGTTGAAACCTAATTTATTCTAGATTTCAAGTTATATGCATGAATATACAGATTATATGATTTGCTAATTTTGTGTGTTTTTCGTTTTGCGTTGAGAAAATTTGCAAGTTAAACTTCTCCATAGTTTCAGGAGTCCGATCATTGAGTAACCAACATGAAAGTTAGATGTAAAGTAGTCATAGATAACGAAATCAATCAGTAACTCAGCTGTTCTTATTTTTCAGTTTTGGCATCTGCTTTCCAAAAAGAAAGCAAGGAAATTGAGGAATGTGATGGAATGGCGTTTTGACCAATTCGTATAACGAAAGCATTGTAAACGGTCATTTTTTTTTTTTTGAATTGAATGTAAAATTTATTCAATCAAAAACTTTTTTACATCAAAGTGCAGCAAATTTTGAAATTTAGTAAAACGGTCATTTTCATTTTTGCTATTTCTAATATTTTGTAGGTTATTATAGCAAATCATCGTTAAGGGTAAAAAAACAAAATTCAGCAAATAAGTTTTCAGTGTTGTTTCATTTCATACTGATTCCAGAAATAAAAATACACTCTTTCCAAATCAATAATATTCCTAAACTTTTTCGTACATATTTGTTTTTCTACTCCAATTGGAAAATATTTCTCCAAATATAACATATAGTAAAGGAAGATCATTCAAGCTCTCTGAAACTGAAGCCCGGATATAAGTTCGAGAGTCTACAGTACAGTTTTTCTAATATAAATGTAGCAATTAATAATTGAAATATTTATGTGCTGTATTTAGAAGATTGTTAAGCACAAATCGTGTAGATTCTTTTGAAAAAGAGTACAGTAAAACCTCTATAAATTAATACTCTATAAATTAATAATCACTATAAAATAATAAATTTTGGTGGTCCCAAGTCAGGCCAATGTAAAATTCTATCAAATTCGATAAGATAATAAGATAATAACTTTTTTTGAAATCCCTATGTAAATATATGGTCCCAACAAAAACATAAATTAATAATTGTATAAATTTATGTAAATATATATACTCCCTCCGTTTCATAAAGAGTGTCATTCTGACATTTTTCACACATATTAAGAAAATTATTAAAAGTACAATTTTATCTCTTATTAATACATTAAATAACTTGTTTTTATCTAATAAATACATTAAATTAATATGGTTAAAACTGAAATATTGTTTAAAATTTTGCATTGAAAATATAAAACGACACTCTTTGTGAAACAAAAATAAAACCTTAAAACGACACTCTTTGTGAAACGTAGGGAGTACTAAAATATGATTAATGTATTTTTTTTTACTTAAAGTTGAAATTTCATTGGTGTTCATCTTTTTACTTATTATATCTCTGCATTTTATTGTTGTTTTTCGGTATACATTCAAATTTTTGAAAAAAAAATTCCATGTGATAATTGATTTTCTTACATGTAAATGTTTACAAATTTATTGTAGTATTGTCTTCAATTTCATCTTTTTGATAATGCCTATGGTTTCTTATAAATATTGAACTTTTAAACATGTATATTTTTAATAGACAAATTAATATGCTGTTAAAAACTATTTTGTTATTATAGTTATGTTTATTAATTATAATTTTTAATAAGATATTCGCTTAAATTCTTAAATAAAACATTATTCGAAATTTTTTTAAGAAAATTATAGGCGAAAACCAAATTATCTCTATAAATTAATATCACGATAAATTAATAAAATTTCATGGTCCCAATATTATTAATTTATAGATGTTTTACTGTAATTATTTTATTGTACTCTCGAGTCTCAAATTCATTAATTAAGCTTTATTTTGTGAGTCGGGGTACCGTTTGATGGTTATTTAATGAATAAATTTGAATGTTATCAGAAGTCTGTAAAAGATGTTTTAAGCAGCTTCGCAAGGAGCCGAAGTATGACAGATCTATGGTCGGAGAGTATTATACTTAGAGATTAAGTAGTTTGAGTGAGAGTGTATTAGATCGCTTATATGAGTTTGATTAGGATTGATGTCTTTAAATGTAAGAAAATGCGTTGTTTTTTTATAAAGATACCTAGATATGGATCATATGGCTGGTACTCGGATCATTGGACCAAGTTCTATAGAGATTGTTCAATGTATTTTAGCAGTTTTACGTCATTTCGGTCGGCATTTGATATGCCTTTGTCATGTTAAATGTTCTATATCACCATCAGCCGCTCATCCGTCTAGCACTTTATCGCTTTTATTTTTTTAACACACGCCACAACACATTTGGTGAATTCGTTTTGTATGCATATAATGTGGCACTAAGAGTTGCTTTTTGGTGGACGTTGTTGAGAGTTTAAGATCCATGCCTATCTAAGGAGCTTGAGATCCGTTGCTACTATTTCAGAGGTCTATTTGTTTGCATATGTTGTGAATGTGCAACAAAAAAAAACTACAAGAAATCAAAATCTTAGAAGAAGACCAACTGAAAAAATACTCGTACGTATATAGTTCTTTTTTTGTATATACTTTTAGTGTTTTTAGAAAGCGAAAGATGTCTCATTTTATTTGGTGTTATAAAACATTAATTTTTTGGTTTCGTCATATTAACTTAAATGTTTGAATATGTATCATTACATATTACAATACGATGTAGTACCAACATTTTATAATGCAATTATTAAAACACTGCTACTCTTGGTTTTCTTATAAAAAGAGTGTAATATTTTTTTTTTAGTTAAAGGAGTGTAGTATTACTTAAGAAAATTTAAAACAATATGAATGCAAGGTTTTTAAGAAAATACTTTACATTAATATTACATCTGTTTAAATTGATATGATAATTTTTTTTTTGCAATTACAACATTTTTTGTCAATTTGGCTAGGCATTTTAAAAATACCCTCATAGTTTACTTAACTTGGTAGCAAAGTTTGTTTTTCTTCTAAGATTCCTTGGTGTATGAATAATTGAAAGCCATTAAGTTTGACCTTTAAGGCACTTGTGTAATCGCACGCGCATTTGCAAACCACTAATATAATCAATTCCACTTTCTTACTTATTGTGACCAGTGGCGGCTGTAATACTCTCGACTCTCGACTTTACCGTCCAACCCATTCACTTGCACACATAATGCTTTGTACCCGATTCACTTATCTTCAATATTCATTATGAAGATGATTTTTCCACATATTTCTTTACATCCAAAAGTATATTTAGTTTTTTCTAGATGCTTATGAGTAACGATCCTCTTTCACCAATCTCAGTTTCTACCTTTAAGATGTTCAGACGTGTGGTTAGTTCAATTTGTAAATAGGTAATATAACTAATCAGCTTGATTTGAGTTTAAATTGGAAGTTTTATTTTGATAGATATTTGTTTCCCCCTATTTATCGCACGATTATATCATGTAGTCTAGAGTTTGGGGTATGTGTGACCGATTTTGAAGAGCTAGCCAAATATTCAAAATAGCAACGACGGTGAAACGACAACGGATCTTTCCTTCAACATACTGTATGTGATCAAATATGTTTTACTATAATTGTTTAGTCTTAGCTACAGAAATCAATGTTTTTTTTTTATAAGTTGTGACTATAATACACTAAGACAGTTTTCTGTGATGAAACTTGATTATTACTTCTTAAGAATTAATATTGACATGGTCGACGAATAAAAGTTGATGAATGACAAAAATAGAACAAGAAATGTGGCGCTTGGTATTCCTTTATGACATTTTTAACAAACAAATTAGCATGTAAGTACAAGTCAACGTCTCTCTTAACTCACTATTGGATACTCTACACTAAATGAAAAAGTTGTCATTAGTTCTTCAATTTTTTATTTGTGTCTTTCTTTAATATAATCTGATATGGCTTCGCTTGCCTATGCTTCGGACCAGCGTTGCTGTCAATCTATAGTATCTTTAGTTTATTGTTTTGAAAGATGGAATTCAATTTAAGCTAATTCATTTACTTACGAAATTTCTTGCTATCTAGCTGTTGCTGCTGGTAATTCATCAACACAAAACATGTTTTAGCCACAATTTTTTTTTAGCCACAACTTTTTCATCTTAGCTCATGGAGGAAATAATCATTTGTGATTATGAATGCAAACGAACTGAATTTCTTGGTTCAAAGGTTATCTACAAAGACACGATGATGGAGAGGTTTGAAAGCTATGCCTAGGGTTTCAATGGCATCTCACCTTTTGTTCAAAACGTAAACATGACTACGTAAATATTAGAGGGCTCCAAATAAGATATGGTACTGGAAGATCCTGCAAACATTGTGCAGTTGAACCCGGGATATTTAAGAGACAGACGGCATATTGGTTATCTATGCAGCTTTTGATTTCCTGCTCGAAATCTTTGTCACCCGTAGCCACCAAAATGTTTGCTGGAGGCGGGTGACTAATGGTCCAAAACTTTAGCTCCCACTTAATTCTTCTATTTGCAGCCTGCATGTTCGAACATTAAAAAAAAAAAAGTAAATTAAACAAATTAATTTATAAAAGTTTTGACTGATAAGAGTTTAAGAATAGTTATCATATCTGGGGCCTGGTGTAAAGAGATTCAATGAAATAGAGATATCTGTTTTTTTGAGTTATTGCCTGATTTTAGAATTTAAACAATAAACAATTTACTATATATATTATTCCTAGACCCTCGAATGGCTAAACTGTCACAAAGCCTGTGTAGTGCTCGACCAAGGTTGCTTGGATTGACACCTTTTGGTATTCCCACATTTTCAAGGTCAATTATGACCAGTGTTTTAGCTGAATACTCGGTGTTGAAATATCCCTGCATGATATTGGCATAAAATTCAATGTTAGAAATACAATTTACATGATTTTGAATTATTAAAGACAAAAGAAAAACAAAACAAAAAATGTAGTTTTGTTCTTACCTTATCAAATGAGAGTTGACTAACCCTCACTGAGGATAAGGTTTGAGACAGCCACAACAATGACCTTCTATGTCTCCTTCCTTTATCCTCAATTTCTGGTCCTTAGCCACTGTATAATTTTTGCTTGATTTAGCCAATGTTTTGGAACATATATTACATCGGAAAATCACACTATTAGAGAACAGTTTGCGTTTTTGGCCTGACTTTCTTGATGTTGCTTTCCCATCAGTCATGCGGCCAATAATATCAACAAAAAATAGTGATTCATGTGGAATCTTAAGGCAAAGTAAATTAGAAAGAGAAGGAAGTGGTTGGTTACGGGTGGTAAATAGATGATGTTGAAACGTAACTTATTCTTGATTCCAAGTTATATGTATAAATATGCAGATTGTTGGTTAATTTTGAGTGTTTTCTTCGTTTTGAGTTAGAAAAATGTGCAAATTTTTAAACTTCTCCATAGTTTTAGGAGCCCGATCGTTGAGTAAACCACAGGACAGTTAGATACAGCCTTATAGATTACGAAATCAATGAGTAACCCAGCTATTTTTTATTTGTATATTTTGGCATCTCCTTTTGAAAAAGAAAGTAAGGAAATTGATGGGTGTGATGGAGTGAAGTTTTGACCAATTCGTTATAATGAAAACATTATAAAACGGTCATTTTCACCTTAGTAATTTGGTAAACTATGCAACTAGCTGAAACATGAATTATAATAACGAAATCATATTTAAAACTGATGATTACTAAGAGTCACAATACAGACTTAAGGATGCAAGGGAGATAACATATCCCGATCCAATACTCGGAAAACAACATGATTTCAGTGATATGGAGAACTCAATTCTAGAATTGATTATCTCACTAATACAAGGTGATGAACATTGTGTTGTATATATAATAGGTATTGCTGGTGCCTGTTCTAAGAAAGAGCCCATAAATTGTATATGACAACTGTTATATATAATACAATCAGAATGGAATATTCAAGAGTTTCTTGAGCGAAAACCAAATCAAACGCTGACGCAGCAGTCACGAAGATTAATCTAACGGGGTGCCTCTCTTGAACGGCACTTCAACCGTGAAGCTTCAAGTTCTTGTTTTAATGTCTCTATCTGAATAAGCAACGCCGCGTTTTCCTACCCAAGAGACAAATAATTAATGAGCCAACAAGCATCCAATATTATAAGGATTGTAGATTTGAATTTCTGATTGGAAATGTCACCTTATGTACTGACTCTAGCTTTTGATTGAAGGTAAAGGTGTCTCCATTCCCAGATAACTCTTTCATCTGTACATGAACAAGCAATGCTCCAAAATCAACCGAAACAAAGAAAGGCAGTGTTTTGCACTGATGCTTCTTGACCAACGGGTAAATTAAACTTTCTGTATCAACTTTCCATGATATAAAAGCTACGACCATTATTAACAGTCATAGAGCCAACAAAATAACCATTTACGAAACCAAAGAATGCACAAGCCGCGAATACAATCTCAGTAGAGCACACACGGCTGTACTTTTCAGAAGCAGATGAGATTTCACCACCAAGACAACCAAAACTAGTGCATTCTAATACATCTTTAAGGCAAAAAAGAAACCTTTGCACAAGGAGGAGCTTAGAAAATACCAGTGCCAGTTCTGTGTTACATTTAGAAGCTTTCTCTGCTTCATTGTCAAACATTCTCCGCCATTCTGCGGATTCATCCATTGCCTCTCTATTCGCCAAATCAAACTGTCTCCTACATCAAAGTAAATCTCAAACCATAAGCATTTACTTGAAAAATGATTAGATAACCACCACTACTACACTAACCATAAACCCTGGTTAGAAAAATGCATCTGAGATATGAAAGGCCAAGTCAAGGCACATTCAAAACTAAAGTCTGAAACTTGAAATCCACAGCTATGGAAACTGACGACCCCTCATCATATTACAAAAACCCAATACTTGGAGAAAACATCCACAAAACCCAGAAATTACAGTGGTTAAAACTACTCCAAGTAGGGAACAGAATCGTTTTCGATTATAGAGATAAGAGGGGAAAAACCTTAAGCGTTCTGTGTCGTCAGAAGATAGAGTATAATCGATTGTCCAGAGCCTTAAGTAAACAGCGACTCCAAGAACAAGAGCTAGAACCAGACCCACCAGTATCGTCTTTCTCTCAGATCCTCCCGCCATTCTTCCTCCTTCCCTGATCAGAGGCAACATCGACGAGCTTGCCCCGAGGAAAGCCTTTGTCCGACTCCGAGCAAAGAGACGACGATTTGTTTCCCGATTGAGCAGTAAAACGGTTCTACCAAACCGGTGACTATTAAACTTAACCGTAATAAAACCGATGATGTAATTTTGTTCAGTTTCGGAATGAAGCCCATATAGATGATAAGGCCCGAGTATACACAAGGGTAAATTTGTCATTCTTATTTCGTAAGCCCTAATTTCGACATCATATCTTCTACCTTCTTCAAAAACCTTCGAGCTTTACCCTCAAGCGCCTCCTCGTCTCGGGACTCGATCGCAACCGAGAAAAACGCAGAAGAATCCTTTAGAAATCCGGTTAACCAGAGACAGCCATGCCGCCGAAGTTGGACCCGAGCCAGATCGTCGATGTGTACGTCCGTGTAACCGGAGGAGAAGTCGGAGCCGCGAGTTCTCTAGCTCCGAAGATCGGTCCACTCGGTCTCGCTCCAAAGAAGATCGGAGAAGACATCGCGAAGGAGACCGCCAAGGAATGGAAAGGATTGCGAGTCACCGTCAAGCTCACGGTGCAGAATCGTCAGGCTAAAGTGACGGTGGTTCCATCAGCCGCCGCACTTGTGATCAAGGCGTTGAAGGAGCCGGAGAGAGACAGGAAGAAGGTGAAGAATATTAAGCACAATGGTAACATTTCGTTCGACGATGTGATTGAGATCGCGAGGATCATGAGGCCTAGATCTATTGCTAAGGAACTTAGCGGCACTGTGAGAGAGATTCTGGGGACTTGCGTCTCCGTTGGATGCACTGTCGATGGGAAAGATCCGAAGGATATTCAACAAGAGATCCAAGATGGCGACGTTGAAATTCCTGAGAATTGAAAACGGAAATGGAAATGGTGTGTTCGTTTCTTTCACTTTTGTTTTTCATTTCTGAGGTTTTAGCTTCTGTGTTTCAAATTAAGAACGAGTCAGTTTTGGATTGTTATTTTGCCGCTTTTATTGGATCCCAATTTTATGCTATGCTTGCTGTTTATCGATGCGCACTAAAACGAAAATGGTTGAACTTGGCCTAGGGATCTCAACCTGCGTTAGTTGAATTTGGTGTTGCAACTCTTAGTGGTAAGAGAACCTATGTTCATCAAATGGTGTAATCACTAGTACAAGAGTTCTTACTCGAGCTACTGCATTATGTTTTAATTGATTAGTTTTCTATCTCTTGATGAAAGAGATCCATTTGTCGCCTGAAGATGTCTCTATAGTCCATGTATCAACGTAACAACATATTATTTGGAAGAAGACGAGATCAATAAGCGAAGCAAAGTGGTCGATTTTTTTCTCAATACCCAAACTCAGTGACATTGCCAAGATGAAAGCGTAAAACACTAAAACTCCCCAATAATTGGAATTCACACAAATATAAGCAGAGGAAAAAAACGAAAGACACAAGGGGAAACAGGGCATGTTTATATAATCACGTGCCCAATTTCTACATAATAGCAGCCACAGTTTTTGTGTGTGTGAGGCTAAATTCAAACGTTGGCCGCACTTCTGAAGGATCCGAGGGACTTGGAACCTGAGGCCCTTAGAACGAACTGATGATAAAATGCAGCAATGGCAGCTCCGATGAATGGTCCCACCCAGAATATCCACTGTAAATTAGAGCAAAACCATTCCATTATTTTCCTCCATATACAGTATTAAACAATATAATCATTGTTAGATTAGTATTAAATTAAGAGATATAGAAGCATACGTGGTCATCCCATGGCTTGGACTCGTTATAGATAACGGCAGCTCCGAAACTCCTAGCCGGGTTAATTCCGGTTCCGGTGATCGGAATAGTGGCCAAGTGAACCATAAACACCGCAAACCCAATCGGAAGTGGCGCCAACACCTTTCATTACATAATTTATATTGATTCATTAGTATCAAACTTATATCATCTTAATTTTATAAATGAAAGTAATTGGATAATAAAGGGTATACTAACGGGAACGTGGGAGTCTCGAGCGTTGCGTTTTGGATCAGTGGCGGAGAAGACAGTGTAGACGAGAACGAATGTGCCGATGATCTCTGCGGCGAGTCCAGTCCCTGTGCTGTATCCCTCGGCGAGAGAGTTGGCTCCTCCACCGTAACGAACGTAGTAAGAGCTTTGAAAGGCCTTCACAAACCCAACTCCACAAATCGCACCCAAACACTGAGCCACCATGTAAAGAACCGCCCTAATCAGCGATACCTTCCGTGCCAAGAATAAGCCGAACGTCACCGCAGGGTTTATGTGACCACCTTCATAAAGTTTTGGGGTCAATGTCAGATAAATGATAAACCAAAGGGCAAGTTTACAATAATGTCACAACTTCTTAAAAATATAACCCGGGTATAAACCGAACCGGTTCGGTATAGTTATACCTGAGATACCGGCGGTGCAGTAGACAAGGATGAAGATCATGCCACCGAAAGCCCAGGCGATGCCGAGGATTCCGACGCCGCCGCAGTCGACTCCGCCGGCGGTTGTGTCGGACTGAATCTTGTAGCCGATGACAGTCAAAACGGTGACGTACAAGAAGAGGAGAGTGGCTACGAACTCGGCGATGACGGCTCTGTATAAAGACCACTTGGTCAGCTCCTCCGCGTCGAAGAACGGAGTAGGCGGTGGATCTTCGTAGTCCCTCGCCGGAAATCCCTCTGCTCCTTCCACGTCTTTAGCCATTTATGAAATGGATGTTTCTGGAATTTCTTGGAAATTGCTTTTGGTGCTGGTTGTTGTGGTTGTAAGAAGAAGAATAAAGGATTCTTTATATAGAGTGAGCTCTTGTTTTGTGTTACTGTATATATGACACTTTTTATTTTACTTCAAAATTGTCTTTTTATCAACATTTTTTTTTTATAAAAAAAGACATTTTACAAAGGAACATATTTTTTTTTTGTCAAGGATATAAATAACTGCAAGTCTATAACCCCTATAGTATTAGTAAATGAATTTTCCAAGGAAAACTTGTTAACTGTTTTTATATTTTCATGAAACATATAGTTTAACACTAAACTAGTTATATTTCTCATACTGTAACATTTCCAAATTAACTCCATTATTGGTACTGAGGGATCACCGTCCAAAAGTCACGTCATTTAGCGTTGCTAGCATCACTCGAAAATTTGACCGTTGACAAACTACCAAAAACCAATAAAACGTGAGCAAACACACAGTGAAGACTCAAGAGAAACAAAAAAATATATATATAGTTTTGACAACGAGAAACAACAGTTATTGATAATTATAAGGTACTACTGTATTCGGAATACATATCTCTACATATACACCTTATCTGTTAGCTGTACCACATGTATAACTACTTTTGAGTTTTTAATATTATTCATACATACATTCCATTAAAAAGTATTTGTCACCATCGTGTCATACGATTTGTTTGTTATCTGCCGTTTGTATAGTAGTACATTCTGGATTATCCCTGCATCTTTTTCATGCTAAGTCTGGTAAATACAGAGTACGCGAATCTTTTGAAAGAGAAACAACAAACTTATTTTTGAGTCATTTTTTGAAATGACGCATGCATAGAAATGTGATTTGAGACTTAACTTTACTTGTGTAAGCTGCAGAATGTATAGATTACACGACCAAACCAAACTAATGTTAAAACCAGTGAATTTTTAAAATTATAGTTGTTTTTAGTTTTTTTTAATGAAATTATAGTTGAGTTATTTTTGTAATTAGCGCATGAACATGTAATTTGAGATACTTTATTTGTGGAACCCGAAAAATATATTCGGAAAACGATCAACTAGTGTAAAATTTGTCATATATAGAACACAACGTCAATTAGTTACGACTATATAAGTCTGTATACAGTGTATACATATACTAGTAGATCGATGTAATTTTATTTGTTAGTTGTGGATTCATTGTCAGCAGATGTATATGTGTAATGTGTGTAAGTGTGTTCAAAAGACTTTGACACTTACACTATACAGTAGTTATCTCTCTACTTATCTCAAAGAGCCATGATATGAGAGAATATTATTGATTTATTTGGTACATAAAATGCTTATCTTAATATTTGCTAGTTTTTCTACAAGAGAATATCACACGTACTGAATATCGATTAGACAATTCTTTTACAAAAGAAAGGGAGCAGAAGGATGAAAAGAAAAGAAAAAATATAGAACTGAGAAGAGAGAAAGTCAAAATGCTGACGTGGAGCTATAATCCAATAAGAGCAGAGAGACTTCACTAAAACGATAAGGTTTCGGTAACGTGGCAAAACATTAGCCATAAGAACACCACATTACATCATATTCCTTTTGTCTGTCTTCATTTTTATTTATTTTTCTCTCAATAATTATGAATATATATGTAAGAAAATTGCTATTGGAATTGAGGTTGAAGAGAGAGAGAGAGTGAGAGCAAATGATTGTTGACGACTTGTGGGGTCTTCACTACGTGGCATGGGAGGAGTGGTTGAGTGGAACCGACGGCTGTACTGAGTTGGACTTAATCTGCTTGGACGGTGCCGATGCATTTGTCGGAGCTATTGTGCGGTTTCTCAGGTCCATCGGGCCCACTTCCACGTCACCACCCCAACGTCCATAATAATCGACCTTAGTGGAAACAGAACCCGTGAAACGCCGTATTTTTATCCTGTCTATGTAATAATTGTGTTAATGTAAATGGTAGGGTTAGATAAGCTCTTTTTGTTGAATACTTATATATACGTTTTTCCTTCTTTCCTTTGGAACTAATAACTCTTTTCGACATTAGTAAATATATATAATCTAATTTTTATATATATATATATATATATATATTTGGTTTACATAGGACTGAGATTGAGTTTTATGCGGTTAAACAGTGAAACTATTGAATTAACTAATGTGGTATATCATATATGATAATGATGCGATATTGAACTAATGTTTTGGTCAAATTTATGATTTGTCTGCGGCTAATTTACTTCTTTTAGAGAGTGTTGTAGTCTTGTAGATAAATGATTGGAGTAGCAATGGAAAGATGGTGGAATCGACATAATCCGAAATTTGATCCTTCACTAATCAATCTTATCAAGCTATCTCAAAATTTTCAACGCTATGGCAACTTAAAACCGAATGTTCATAAAAACCAACTTTCTAGTCTGCCTAAATTGATAAGATTCATAACAATATACTATGATTTTTTATGTGTAAAACAGTGACAGGCTATATTATTCTAGGGGGAGGACAAGGCTCATGACATAAGACAACAGAAATAAAACATAGAAGCATATATAGTATAAAAGGGTCGGTCCAAATGAAAGCTACTTTTTAGGTGATGGGGCGGCGAGGCTAAGTTAAATTAACCATAAAACTCCATTATCTACCACATAAATTTAGAATTAAAAGGTCGCTGTTCTTAATAGCGCCACAATCATTCTTTTAAATGATCCGAATCCTTAATAAGTTTATATGTAGTCTAAAGATTTGTAACATGTGAACCCTAAAATGAAAACTTAATATAACTTCTAATTTCGTCAACTAGAACGATAGTCATCAATTAATATTACAATCATTTTTCTACGACAAATACTAACATATACATACGAACGTATGTATGTAGATATCTATACATTTATTAATACATTAGATATGAATAGTTAAGTATATCATGAAAATCAGTACTATGCTAATGGATATGAAAGTTCTGCTTAAAGAAATGTGGAATGTATTACGTATGCAATTATGAAGCTATGATTAGATTGGTTAAGATTATATATCATGACAGCTAGCTAGATAATTAATTAGTGAACGCTAATTTTTAAAAAAATAATCATAATCGTGGAATACATTTCTATATTCATGAAGAATAATAAAAAAAAATAAACAACAAAAAAGCATAAACCTACCAAGGAAAACGCAATTTTAATATAAATATATATGTATAATCAATTAAAATAATATAATACGTATAGCTTACAATGATTAACATGTATGCAAAATTAACAAGAGCATTAATTCACTAAGAACTAATCACTCTATATAAACAACCTTGCTTCCTCTCTTAACAATCACACAACATAAATAAAAAACCCATTTTTTTCTAAATAATAATCATATTAAATGGCGAAGGACGTGGAAGGAGAAGGATTCACGGCGAGGGACTACGAAGATCCACCGCCTACTCCGTTCTTCGACGCGGAGGAGCTGACCAAGTGGTCTTTATACAGAGCGGTTATTGCTGAGTTCGTAGCCACTCTCCTTTTCTTATACGTCACCGTTTTGACTGTCATCGGCTACAAGATTCAGTCCGACACAGCCGCCGGCGGAGTCGACTGCGGCGGCGTCGGAATCCTCGGCATCGCTTGGGCTTTCGGTGGCATGATCTTCATCCTTGTTTACTGCACCGCCGGTATTTCAGGTATAACTATACCGAACCGGTTCGGTTTATACCCGGGTTATATTTTAAGAAGTTGTTGCCCTTTTGTTTATCATTTATTTGACATTGACCCCAAAACTTTATGAAGGTGGCCACATCAACCCTGCGGTGACGTTCGGCTTGTTCTTGGCACGGAAGGTATCGCTGATTAGGGCGGTTCTTTACATGGTGGCTCAGTGTTTGGGTGCGATTTGTGGAGTTGGATTTGTGAAGGCCTTTCAAAGCTCTTACTACGTTCGTTACGGTGGAGGAGCCAACTCTCTCGCCGATGGATACAACACAGGCACTGGCCTCGCCGCAGAGATCATCGGAACATTCGTTCTCGTCTACACTGTCTTCTCCGCCACTGATCCCAAACGCAATGCTCGAGACTCTCACGTTCCCGTTAGTATTTTTTTATTATTATCCAAATACTTTCAGTAAACCTGAGATAGTTTGATACTAATGAATTAACATGAATTATGAAATGAAAGGTGTTGGCGCCACTTCCGATAGGGTTTGCGGTGTTCATGGTACACTTGGCCACTATTCCGATAACCGGAACCGGAATTAACCCGGCCAGGAGTTTCGGAGCTGCTGTTATCTTCAACGAGTCCAAGCCGTGGGACGACCACGTAAGTTTTTATCTCTTAGTCTTAATCAAAACTAATCAAACAGTAATTATATTGTTCAATGAGAAAATAACGGAATAATTTTGCTCTAACTTACAGTGGATTTTCTGGGTGGGACCATTCATCGGAGCTGCTATTGCTGCATTTTATCACCAGTTCGTTCTAAGGGCCTCAGGTTCTAAATCCCTTGGATCCTTCAGAAGTGCGGCCAACGTTTGAATTTAGCCACAAAATTAACAACAATGATAACAACAATTACAAAATGGTTGTTATTTATTGTTATGATGCATGTACAAAATTGGCAACTTTTGTTTAAAAGTAAGCTCTGTTTTCTTTCTCTTTTCTAATTTCTGGTTTCATTGTGGTGTAATATTTTCATGTGAATGTTTGTGTACTCGGGGAAAAACAATCAATGAAATCAAATTGTTTTTTGCCTTCTTTCTAATTTTTTAGTATCATCAATATTTTCTGTTGATCTAAAAATATATCTACAACGGTTCAACACTTCGGGTTATAAAGTTTATCTAATTTAGGCTAGCCTTAAGGCATAATAACAAAATTGAAAGTAATCAACTCTAGTCGGACAACGCTGGTTAAACGTGCATGAAAGTGATTACTTTTGTCTAAGTTGACACTTGACATTCCAACGGTTCTGATTTTCTTTTGAAGAGCCTACTAAAAAGAAATTAAAAAAACCAAAGACAAATATGTATGTGTAAAATAAAAGGTTCCTAAGTTTTTCTCAAAAATTTGTGGCCCTAGGCCAATGTTTCTTATATCATAACGTGAGCACGCTCTGTCTCCAACCCAATTAACCATCAATGTTAAGAATTGATTCAGTTCGATCCATATTTTTCTTTGAAGAAAGAAAACATTCACATTGGCTTCCTTTCAAAACCAAGACCTGAAACAAAATGATTTTCAAACAGTGACTGAATTAACTGGAACCACCGGCCTTGCTGGTCAGTGAAGGTTTGCTTGTGGTTGGATTTGCTTCTGAGCTACTGGATTGAGTGTCTGGTCGTGTCCAGATCTTTAGATGGCCTTCTCTGCAAGCCGTTACGACTGATTCTTGAGTGAAGATCAACCCCGAGAGGGGCTCGCTGTGAACACGCTGAGCCACGACTGGTGAGAGCTTTGGGACGTCGCGCATGCACGGCGCTGGCTGAAGAGTGCCCATTGGAACGATGTTGTCCCAGTGAGCAGATTGACTCCCCGTGCTGTAAGTGGGTGATCCTCCTGGAGGTCTACGAAGTGGAACTACAATCTCATCCATTTCTAGGTCCCATAGCAGTAGTTGTGTGTCCTGTTCGCGCAAAAGCAGAGAGAATAAAAACACAGAAGGCGAGCCAGAAACACAGAAGAAACACTAAGAAGACCACAATGTATAAGTTATTAGCACAACTTTCACAGGCCAAGACAATGGAAAATCTCACTTTCTAACACATTTCTATAAAATCTGTTCCCGCAATCTGGCAAATATCACATGAGATATGGACAATGCTATCGCCCCATACGGTCAAAAGAAATCCCCCTAAAAACATTACATCTCATTTCCCTCGCTATTTCTCGCTCCTACACTAGAATCGTTCTACAGTCTTATATACTCTTAAGCTAAATTACACAATAATCATAGTAGCAGGAGACGTATTTACCACTGTTCAATCAATAAAAAAAGGTCAAGGCAAACCCTCAATGGTGAGGCAAATGTTTAGTTGGCATCACATAAATAGAAAAGAGAACGGGAAGAATGGATAATAGCATAGCTGATTACCTGACCAACGGAACCAAACCGATACATAACATTCTCGCCAGACCCATCTAAATTTGGTGACGACCAATATGAATCAAACGCCACTCCACTAACCTGAGAGAAAACATATCACATTAGTCAAGGAGTGTTGTTGTTACATAAAAAATTCACTAATACTCCAATTTATAATACTTACCCATGAATTGTGTCCCTCACCCCATGCCACAACCTTTCGGTCTTCCATACTCCAGACTTGAACCAAGTCATCTTCACCTCCAGTCAAAAGGTACTTTCCATCAAAACTGTCAGGTCGATCACAATGTTAGTATAGAATAACAATTCCATGCTAAAAGGAACTAGAGTGAACAAAAATTTATTTTACAAAAATTGACGCAGATAATTATTTTCCTTCAAATGCAATAAGGAAGATCAAAGGATATAGTTCCACTCACCTCCAAGCACAACACAATAGAGCACCATAATAACTTTTTCCACCACACACTAGCTTTTGGGTTGAGAAATCAAAAATTCGAAGATAACCTGTACATGGTAAAAAAGAAGACGAATGCTCAACCGAAAGAAACATATGGAGAAAGAACTGGAACCAGCGATATAACAAAAAAAACCAACATACCATCTCTTCCGACAGTTGCCAAGTATGCTCCATCATTTGAAAATGCAATGGAGTTTATTGAACCTTGACCAATATGCCATCTCGCTACTGGGTTACTCTGCAGGAATATTTGTGGGAGTGAATAATCGTGCATGTTTATACACGTAAAGACAGAAAAGAAATGAGCATTCTCATTCTGCCAGAGCTACACATAAACCTTGAAAGCAACATCAAATGGACCCACTACCAAACTCAAGTACCTTGCTATATTTTGATTTGTCAACTGAAAACTGTGTAGGATCTCTTATAGCAGAAAATGAAGATTCAGTTGCACCTTCTTTATTCTGCAAGTATAACACTTATTCTGGTCAGAAATTAGACATTAGGTAAATGAAAAGTCAAATGCAAGAATTTTGTTCCCCGATATCTGAGCTTGCCTTCTCATACACGTACAAATTTCCATCGGCATGAGCAACAACAAAGGATCCGTCACCTCCAGGCACCCAAGCTATACTAGTACAGCGGCTGTTAAAAGGGAACAAAGTTTATCTGGTTCTTAGAGTGGACAAGACAGATAAAAAAATATTTGTTTTTTTCTTTCGTAAAGGAATTTCAGCCAGATTCCCGTTATATTTAATTTAATCCGAGAAAAAACATACTCCTCTGAGACTACACCTATTATTGTACAATACAAATCTTATGACTCACTAAATCAAGAGTTACCAAGAGCATATATCCAGTAAAATGTCAAAAAACGAACGATAGCTACTTCAGCTTGTTGCATTTCACTCATTTGGCATAAATATAGAAGTACCAAAGAAGAAAACAGTGAGAATACTAGCGATCGATACACCAACAAATGTGAACCAACGAGATTGATACAAATTTCAAACAATAATAACAAATACTAGAACAATGAAGCACTGAGAAAGGAGAAAAAAATAAAAAATCTTGCCTGTTATTTACAGAACCATCTTTGTTATAATGCTGAGCACTAACAAGCTTCTTACCGACATCTTGTAACTGCTGTCTTAGTGATACGGTGTAGACTACAATAATTCACCAAAACAGTAAATAACGAGACGAATTTCCATCTAGAACAGAAGTAACAAACTTGAGCTAAAATTTCTACATTACCATCCCCAGAATTCAGCCCAATAAGTAGATCATGTCCATCCTTAGCATCAGGATCAAACGCGTGGCACATAGGGTTCGAATTGCTGATATGTATAGACTTTACTGGATCCTACACGAAAGAAGTTTTCTAAACTATGACCAAAACCAGGACAACAAATCAAATCTTAAGAGAATGAAAGAGGTAGGAGTAAAATACCTTGTCTTGTGAGTTCAAGTCGCATATAAAAATAGCATCACCCACATTAAAGACTAAGTAACTTCCTTTCCCATCAAAATTCGTATTAGTCGCCGAGGTACTAGAACTAGAAGCAGTGAATGAAGCACCAATTCTTGAACCTGTACTCACATTTTTGTTCCCTCCATTGCCACCAACGAAACTAAGCGCACGGTTACCATTCCCACCACCCAACAACCTCGCTGTTGCTGATCGGAAACCGCTAGTAGCACTGAAACTTGACGAGGTACCAGTTGGTGTCGATGGAGAAGGTTTGTCCTTGAGGTGAGCTAGAGTAACCTGACACCGAAATTTCCCAAATCCATCCTCAGAAACCACTTTTAAAACACGCAGATCAAATGCCCTTTTGATATTCCTACACAAAACCTTGCGAAATTCAAGTTGCTCATCAATGCTAGTGAAACACTGACTTATGCATCCTGGATTCAAATTTTCCACTAATTGAAAGTTTATTCAGAAATCGTAAGTCTCCCAAATTTTTTTTTGCAAAAGCACATAGCAATTCATAAGCAATCACAAACCAAACGCAATGAAATCTCTAAATTCATCCAGAAGTAATCAAAAGCTTTCACCTGAGTGACGGTTTTTCCATGTGTATAGTGAAGGAGCCCAGAAGGATGCGTCTTCTCGTAGTGGAGCTTGTACTTCCCTTCAGGGGTCTTGAAATACGTCTTGATTCCCGGCGAGTGAGGATTCGCCGCCGAAGCTGAAGAAGAAGAAGAAGGCGCAGAGATCATTCCATTAGAAGTGTTCATCATATTTGCTCACTGCTCTTCTCTAATTTACAAGCTACTTGTAGCATCTGATCATGTCCCTAGGGCTTTTGTTGTTTTTATAGCTCCTACTGTGTCACTGAACAAAATCCAGAAATCCACTCTTCTCTTCTTCGATGCAATTGCTCTAAACTCTGTTCCTCGTCGCGAAAATTAAAATCAAAAATTTATGTTTTGGATTCTTCAGGTCTTCAATTGCTTCCGGATCAAAAAGGATTAGTATTATGAATCCAATGTGGTCTCCGGTTCTAATATCTATATTCCGTCCGACTCGGCAAAAAACAATCTTAATTGCTTTCTTAATTATATCAAATTGAATCTTTAATGACGTCAAAATCAAAATGACTCACCATCAATTAAGGCCCAAATAAAGTCCAAAACATAGGCCCACTATGAAAGAACCAAAAAACTTTCCTTCTTCAGCTTTCGACGTGCCGCTAACCGTGAAGGAAAAGTAAAAGATAGAAATTAACACCATACAGTGATGATGATGATGATGTTAAAAAAAAAGAAAAGGAAATTAACACCATAATACATACGCCTAATCACGAGCCAATTTTGGGATATTTAATTTAATAAAATTAGTCGGCAAAATAATATTTACTCAACGGGGTTTACCGGTAACCGGTGGAGGTCGTCAGAGATACTAAATTTTTCCAGCAACGTACTCAACCGCTTTTATTAGTTTTCTTAAATATGAACCGATCATTGTAATTGCCCAACCATCGCCTTTTAAAAAAAAAACGAAAGCAAATTTTGTGAAAAACACATTCTCTCTCTAAAACCTCTCTTCTTTTTTTTTTTTTCTCAAAAGCTGCGTTATCTGTATACGAATTCATTCTTCTCTTTGCTTTCCTCCGATCGGTCTCCTTTTCTACATAGCCGCACGCTGTGGTATGTTTCTCTCTTCTTCGATCCTTGTATGAGCTTATGATTTGTGTTCGTTTATGTGTATATATGCGTGTAAATGTGCTGAATCGATTTTGTAATTTCATCAAATGTTTGTCCTGTTTACATGTTGTTACCGATCGTCTCTTTGCTTCGTTATTGGGACTGTGTTATGATTGTTTGGTATAACCCGGTTATTTCCGGTCGGCTGCTACATCGGTGACTTTTTAGTTTTTATTGGAGTTTTCCTGCAATCTTCGGGTATGATCGGTGATCATTTCCGAGAATCGGAGTCGATTTTGGATGTTTACGGATATCGGAGCTCCTTTTGCGTCCAATTTCGTTTTCTTTCTCGTAGTTGTTTGCTTTAGATTCCGATGCTGAGAATATAAACCAAATCGGTGATCAGCTTCAGCGACGGGGTAAGCTAGCTAGTTTGGGATATAGTCTGAGCAGTTTCCTATTAGTATAATCCTAGGCTTAGATGGTTTGTATCCTGCAGGTTTAGGGGCAGTGATGGTTTCTCAGTTTATATCATGCATGCCTTTCTCGACAACGAACCTGGGGTAGTTGAGAAACTGGGAAAAAAACGTTATTGGTGATTCAAATGTTAGCGAAATTTGAGAACTAGTTCGACTCTAGTTTCAGGTCAGAATACATCTTCCTACTTGAAGAGTTCTAGATTTTGTTAGAAACTATAGCATTCCTTCTCTCTTTAAAACTGGTTTATTAACACTTTTCCAACAGATGTTAGTTCCTCACGGTAGCAATTTCCAACAGATGTTAGTCCATTGTCATGCAGATGCGGTGTTGCACACCTTCTTGGTTGAATGAGAAAGTAATGTGAACTTGAACTCAGATAAGTGAACCCAAATTTATTAGCGTGGTTAGCTATATTCCTAATGTTTTGTGGCCAATAACTAAGGTTATGGTAGTAAAGGCTTTGTGAAGTTTACCTGATCCAGTTCTTCCGCCAGTTTTTCGTGGCGTAAGATTTGTTGTGATTCTACTGAGTTACATCTTTATGGGAGTAAGCAAATAACCACAACTGGTCCGCGTTCACATGCATATCTGAATGTGTTAATCAGTAAAATATGCTTGAAGTCTGAAATAAGGTAGCCATGGGCAGAGAACTTCAATCTTTCTTATGTGAAGACAACCATGCTATGAAGGTTTCTGGAATGATATGCTGTCACAATCGTTCACATGTATTTTATTTGGATGCACGATGATGTCAAGCATAATGCTGACTGTGTAATGCATCCTTTCACACACCCTACTTTGTTTTACAAGCCCTTGGACTCATAAGCCACGAGATTTGGGGTCCATCAAGGTGTGCTTGAAGGTTTTAAGACAATAAGAGCTACAAGATATTAAAAGGAGGTGGTAAGCCTTTGCTGGCTAGCACTTTTGAGTTTTGTGGACTAAACTCGTTCACCTAAGGGAGCTGTAATGTAGTCAATTATGATTTTGAACATGAAGAGACGGAACTACATTTGGAGTTTTTATTGTATTATCTAGTGAACTTAAGGGCCTAACTGTTTCTGGCTGATTTACTTTCGTGAATTGTGATTGGAAATGGTGAATCAATTGCTCAAATAAGCACGGCAGCCTTTTCAATTGAGTACTTTAGTGTATTCTTGTTTGGGACTGTTTTACCTTTTTCCCATACCCTTCTAGGATTATTTGCCTGCAGGAGCATTTTTGGAGGGTTTTGGTTCAGAAAATTAAGCTCATGTCCTGCTATTGAATCCTCCATGTAATTTTCTGGGGCATGCCAATAGTGATTGTAAGTTCAGTGAAAGACATTTACAAGGCCCTTTATACATACTTCAGAGCTGTGAAATCTATTTTGTGATAAAAATATTACTTGTGTGTCTTTTGTTGAGTAGAGAAGTCATCATTGGGGGGATGATGCATATTTATTCTTAACGTCTATTCAAATAGGTGACACATTTTCAGCCACCATTTGATACTTCTTTGGTTCACTTCAAGAAATACCATTCCTGAACGAAAACTGTTTTTGCTTGGTAATTAATGAATATTTCTTCTGAGCTTGCAAATGTTTTTCTGGATGAATGTTGAGAGAACTTTCTGTGCAGGTTTAGTTGGACTATAAGGTTGAAGCTTTGTGTAAACCATGGGGCACAGACATTTTCTTGGTTCATCCCAATATTTCGATGATGAACATGATCAAGGATGGAGTCATATACACCCAGAGCATCCATATACGAGTCTAGGTAATTAGTCCTTCATTCCTACATATCTTTAATCTGTTTTCGATTCATAAAAATCAATCTTTAATACTCGTTCTCCACTGATAGAGATGGATTTTCAATATTTGTAAGAGCTATTGGATTGATGATGCATGTCTATTTTTAGGTTAAGATGTTCTATGTGCTTTTCCCCTATGGGTAGTCTGGGTTTCACTACGAAAATTTTGAATCTTGATAAGTGGATACCCTCATCTAGTGAGAATTAAGGAGGCAACATTTTATAACCATCACAGATGTCCTCGACTTTTTCCTGTGCATCATGTCTGGAATTTCTGATTAATATTATTATCCGCCCCACATTTTCTCAGCAAGATCTGGGACTAGTGAGAACAGATCGCATGTTTATTCAGCAGAAAACATGTTGAATGAAGGAGTGCCAGATTCTTCGCATTGGAACTCTTCTACAGGGCCAAGTGCCTATACTGCCTCAGGTCATGGTGGGGAGAGGCTACGCTACAATCCAGGGACTTCGGGCCCATCCCACGATCCTTTCATGAGTTCAACTTTCTCTGCTCCACATGATAATTATGTGACATTTGCATCCTCTTCGAATTGCAACAGCCAGACATGGTCAAATGCTAGTTATGTTGGTCAACCAATGGAAAGTGTGAGAGGAGCACAAAAGCGAAAAAGCCCATGTGATTCTTCCATCTATGAAATGGGCAGTTCAAGTCATTACCACGGTGACAGAACTTCCTCAGACTTCCCTTTCTCCTCGGAGTCGCACCTGGGAAAATCAATAATTCATGATCATGATCCTCATTACATGCCGTGGCTCATGGACCCAACTTACAGAAGTAATAATCTCTCGATCAGGGGAGAGAGTTCTTCAAGGAATGTCCGGAGTCGTCCTACACTTGATTTAGAGACCAGCGTAGATAGAATTAATTTGGCAAGAAGCCCGGGCCTTGATTCTCATTCGACACACCACAATGCTGAGTATTCTGGCTCAGGTCAATTTCCTGGTCAGGCATCTTACAGAAATAAGGACTGGAACTGTCCTAGGCGCTCCCCAGTTTCTCCTGGAGGTATGGAAATTACACTTGGTCACTCTTCTTAAGCTTCAAATATGTTTTTCTACAATCTGACCACATTAATACTCGCTTTGCAGATATAAGTGGCTTTAGTCCAGAGACAAATACTTCTCTTCCTACGAGAAGTGTTGTCAACAGCAAATCTGTTGATATCACTGGCTATCACCACGGGCTAATCGGTAACAGAAATACTACAGTTTCCCAAGGTTTTCCTGGAACCTCAACACAATCTGCAAGCAGTTCCCGCTTCTCTCATAGGTCAACCCCAACCTATAGATCTTCTTCAAGCTGTTTGCAATTGGGACATGTAGCATCGTCTTCTGGAGACAGGTCTCACTTGGTCACTGAGACATATCCGTCTAGGCATCTAAGGCCACCACCACACATTTCATGGCGTAGCAGTGATCGCCCAGGGAGACGCAGGAGTTCCCATGAGAGGGTTCACCCTCCTTTCGATGAAGGTGCTCTCCGTGAACGGTTTTCATCTGAGGTACAGTTTTTATTCTTACAAATGCAATTTTTTTGGGGAGTAGAAGTATGTCCTAATTACACTGAACTTACCAATAGAAACTTATGCTATGAAGCTCAAGCCAGTGTGATATAGTGCGTATCTAGTATTTACTGGTAGGACCAATTCCGCAAAAGTTTTCCTATATAAACTTTCAATTTTCTTATTCCGCTGCAGACTGAACTGTTTTCTACTGTCTTCTTTTTGTGGGTGTGCATAAAAACAGGGATTTATGGTTGTAGATCGCCAACCACAGTATGGATCCAGAAATATGCTTGATCACCATGGAGACATGAGGCTCGACATCGATAACATGACCTACGAGGTTAATTACAAACCACTTATCTTCTTAAGCCTCACATAGCCAAAAGTCTTGAAAGTGATATATCTGAAATGATTGACATTATTCAGGAACTTCTTGCTCTTGGTGAAAGAATTGGGACTGTCAACACTGGTCTGTCTAACGGTGCAATCTCCAGTTGCTTGTTAGAGACGACATATTACGCATTGAATCAAACGGATGAGCAAACAAAATGCGCAATCTGCCTGGTAAGATCACTTGTCCTGAAAACACTTTATGTGCAAGCAAATGTTTATATAGAAAGTTAGAGATAGGCTAATGTTAATGTGGTAATGGCAACAATTAGGAGGAGTACAAGGAAAAAGAAGAATTAGGGGAACTTAAGGGATGTGGACATGGCTACCATGGTGGGTGCATCAAGAAATGGCTGTCTATGAAGAACTCTTGCCCTATTTGCAAATCACCTGCGTTATCTGATGCTTCTAAGAGCCCATTATAATTTATGTATATTCATTTTTCTTTCTTTTAAAGGGAAAAATATGTGATAGACTATACCTATAAGTTGTATTAGTAGTGGTTGTAAATAGAAGCAAGTCCAGGATTTTTCATGAGGGTTATAATATATGTTATTATTGGAAAGAAAACAAAAAAAAAATGACTCTTTGGAGAATCTGGAACTAAAAGAAGACCACATATAGTCTTTGAATTTTCATTTGGGGATTGATAAGTTCTTCACCGGTCGTGCAGGTCACATCTATCATTTTTTCCGGCATATTAGCGCATACATACATTGATTTGTTTCGGAACAAAACAAAACGAACTCAGAATTGTTTTCCAACACGCTAGCTAATGTATAGTCAAGAATTTTGCGGGGAGAAGCAAGGTAGGTCCATGCTTTCTGGAGCCAGAAAGTGATGGTCCGGATCCAAATCCACTTGTTTAAGTGATTTTAAAAACTGTAGCATTGCTTTTTGTTTTTTTAAATTGTAATGCTTGAAGATGACTGATTAACTAACATATCAAGGTTGACACCCAAAACATAGATATTTAAACCGGTTTGATATACAATGGAGCAAAAGTGAAAAACCGTTTGTATTATTATCGAATAATATTCGTCGCAAGCAATTAACATGTTTTACCCTGGTTTTGGAATGAGATTCGTAACACCTAATTTTTTTTCGAGGAAGATTTATATTCTGGAAAAGGCGAGGGATGATCGAAATGAGGAGGATGATTTGAAGAGGTTCAAACTCACTTATCATCTTATATTTTTGTTTCTTTCTTGTTACTTGTGATTATCTTTTTTGTCGTCCATCTTTTGTGTCCAAAATTATCAGATTTAGATCTCATTCACACACGTGTACAGTTAGTTAAACGTGATTAGTTGACTGGTAAGAGTTAGTTACTCTGATTAGCTTAAGTGTATAATAAACATTCAAAGTGTAGATAAACCATCATAAAAAGTCCGTTTCCTTTGTTCACGAGTTTATGTGTTCCGTTCTTATTATTTTACTTAACAGGTAACGTTTTTAATTTGGTTTCCTCGAGCGATTTTAGTTGCAATCACAATGCAATATGCGAGCTTTTGTGAGTTATTAGCCGTGTGAATAGTCAAACCTGTGAGAGCTGTTACGTCGTTCTTAATCATCGTGAATGTTTCTAATCTTTCCCGGCCATGAACTTATTATTTACATAGTTATGATTACGTTTTGAACAAAAGGTGATGCCATTGAAACCCTAGGCATAGCTTTCAACGTCTCCATCATTGTGTCGTTGTAGATAACCTTTGAACCAAGAAATTCAGTTCGTTTGCATTCATAGTCGCAAATGATTATTTTCCTTTTAATAAATATAGTGGTTTCCAAAGCTAATATGAAAATGTTGTGGCTAAAATATGTTTTGTGGTGATGAATTACCAGCAGCAACAAGCAACAGATAACAAGAAATTTTGGTAAGTAAATGAATTAGCTTAAATTGAATTCCATCTTTTAAAACAATAGACTAAAGATACTACAGATTGACAGCAACGCTGGTCCGAAGCATATGCAAGCGAAGCCATATCAGATAATATCAAGAAAGACACAAATAAAAAATATGAAGAATTAATGATAATTTTTTCACTTAGTGTAGAGTATCCAATAGTGAGCTAGAGAGACGTTGACTTGTACTATTCAAATTCATCGCAGGAAATTGTTAATTTATTTATTGTATAATAATATTCTTAAGAACTTTTTTTCACATCCGATAAAGCGATTCAGTATTAGATCTACATCTCCTCGTTTACTTTCTGGTAATGCTTGAACATGACAAATTAATATATATATATATATATACTTGCGGATATATACATGGAAAGTGAATTGAAAGATATTGTCCAACTATGACATACAATGGAATACATATAAACAGTGTTCGAGATATTTTTTCATTTATTTGTATACTACATGCTAATTTGTTTGTCAAAAATTTCATAAAGGAATAGAAAACCCCACATTTCTTGATCTATTTTTCTCATTCATCAGCTTCTATTCGTCGACTGTGTCAATATTAATTCTTAAGATATAATAATCAATTTTCATCACAGAAAACTGTATTAGTGTATTTTAGTAAAAACTTATAAAAAACAAAACATTGATTTCTGTAGCTAAGACTAAATAATTATGGCAAAAACATACATTTTATCACATATGTTGAAGGAAAGATCCGTGGTTTCACCGTCGTTGCTATTTGAATATTTGGCTAGCTCTTCAAAATCGGTCACACATACCCCAAACTCTAGACTACATGATATAATCGTGTGATAAATAAGGGGAAAAAAAATTCTGTCAAAAGAAAACTTTCAATTTAAACTCAAATCAAGCTGATTAGTTGTATTACCTATTTACAAATTGAACTAACCACACGTTTGAACATCTAAAAGGTAGAAATTGAGATTGGTGAAAGAGGATCGTTACTCATAAGCATCTAGAAAAACTAAATATACTTTTAGATGTAAAGAAAAAAGGGGAAAATCATCTTCATAATGAATATTGAAGATAAGTGAATCGGCTACAAAGCATTATGTGTGCAAGTGAATGGGTTGGACGGTAAAGTCGAGAGTATCACAGCCGCCACTGGTCACAATGATTAAGAAAGTGGGATTGATTTTATTAGTGTTTGCAAATGCGCGTGCGATTACCCAAGCTAAGTGCCTTAAAGGTCAAACTTAATGGCTTTCAATTATTCATACACCAAGGAATCTTAGAAGAAATTATTATTGCTACCAAATTAAGTAAACTATGAGAGTAATTTTAAAATGCCAAAAACAATTGATAACAGATGTAATATAACCTTATTAAATTATTGTAGTTTTAAAATTTTAAGTAATATTACACTCCATTTATAAGAAAACAAAAATTAGCAGTGTTATAATAATTGCATTATATATAAAATATTGGTACTGCATCGTATTGTAAGTATGTAATGATCCGAGTTTTAACAATATGATCCATATCTAGGTATCTTTATAAAAAAACTACGCATTTTCTTACCTTTAAAGACATCAAATCCTAATCAAACTCATATAAGTGATCTAATACACTCTCACTCAAACTGCTTAATCTCTAAGTCTGATACTCTCCGACCTTAGATCAGCCATACTTCCAGTAATTGATTCGTTGAGAAGCTGCTTAAAACATCTTTCATAGACTTCTGATAACATTCGAATTTAACCATGGAATAAACATCAAACGGTAGCTCGATTAACAAAATAAAGCTTAATTAATGAATTTGAGACTCGAGAGTAGAAAAATAAATTACTCTCTTTCAAAAGAATCTGCTACCGATTTCAGCTTAAAAAAACTTCTAAATACACCACACAAATGTCTCTATCGAAGATTGGATCCTCAACCACAATTCCCAACAAAATATTTCAATTATTGCTACATTTATATTAAAAAAACTGTACTGTAGACTCTCGAACTTTATCTGAAATCTATTTTGTTAATAGTAATAGGTAGTTATAAATTTTCGAAGGTTTTTACTTAATATATGATTCAATAATTTTGGCATGATGTAGTACAATGGGCCATGCCTATATATATGTGACTAGTCCAATTCCTCGTTCTACTTTTGTTACGATTTACCAACTCTTAACAGAATTAAAGCAATAGAGTTTTTAAAGTGAGCTATGAATCCAAATTGGTAACGATATTTTGAACGGAAGGTAAAAAGCCGGTAAGTCTGGTAGAATCAATAAAAATTTCGATCGTACAAACTTTATCAGCAGCAATGGGTGATGATTTTTTGTTTTTAGTAGTGAATGAACTTAACTATATAATTGAAATCGTGTTAATATGACTAATAGGCTAATTATATTAAGTATATAGTATACCTACAGATTAGCATGATTGTAAGTCAATAGAGTTGGTCATCTAGACGTTGATGTGTTATATTCATATTCGTAGCAAGCATTTAAAACTTTTTTACTGTAATAATTCTACTTTTTCGAATCCGAATCAACTAATTAGAACGTATTTCACATAGATCTCACAACTATGATGTGAACCGGACTGCATGTCTGATGGTTGAACATAGACTTGTTTGAAGATGATCTAATTAATATATGAAGGATGAAAAGAAAGAAAAAATAGAGGAAAATGATACTTGAATCGGATTGACATATAATATAATGGAACAATAGTGAAAGCCAAACTAATTTTTGTATTATTTTCGGACAAAATGGGAAATCGAGAGTCTCACTGAATTCACATGCGTTTAGAATAAGAAATCCCCGATAATTACAAAAAAAATGAATATTAATTATTATGGGCAACCACTATGACAATTGACAGAGAATAAAAAGACTTAATTAAATATATCAAACACGATTATAGAGGTTATCTAGTCCCTTGAAATCTCTATATAACACTAAATTGGTACACATAAGAGAGACACACCAATCAAAAGATAGAGAGAAGAGAGGGAAAGAGAGAGAGGGATGGCCATTGCGAAGAAGCCTTTCTGCCTTTTGGCCTTCTTTTGTCTGTTATTACAGTTATTCTCTACCTTCCATACCGGTAAATATTCTTTCCTGATCCAATCACGTTTCGCCACATGTTTCCATGCCTCTCGAAATTTTGCTGACTGGAGCTGCCTATGTAGTGATATATATTTCTTTTCGTAATTTATTTTCCATCGTAAAAATCCAGGAAATATATTTGTGATAATAATCGCTAATAAACGCATATATGTGTAATGGAAACGAATAATTTTAAGAAGTAATAAAACTGTAGGAAATGGGGAGCTGGAGATGAATTATTACAGAGAGAGTTGTCCAAAAGCGGAAGAGATAATAAGACAACAAGTGGAGACTCTTTACTACAAACACGGCAACACCGCCGTTTCTTGGCTCCGTAATCTCTTCCATGACTGTGTCGTCAAGGTAATTTTTTTCTTTCTATTCACATGAGACATGAGGAATTTAGTTATTATCATCATAATAGAATATCAAAATACGATTTATATCTATGTCAACATGTGTGTGTGTGTGTGTGTGTAGTCATGTGATGCGTCGCTGTTGCTAGAGACAGCAAGAGGTGTGGAATCTGAGCAAAAATCGACGAGGAGTTTTGGGATGAGAAACTTTAAGTATGTTAAGACTATCAAAGACGCACTCGAGAAAGCGTGTCCGAACACAGTGTCTTGTGCCGATATTGTCGCTCTCTCTGCTAGAGATGGTATTGTCATGGTGCGTACGTAGACTCCCCATATATTTCTATGCATTTTTACGGCTAATTTGATTAGTTGTATTTTTTTTAATACTAAATTTTTTGTTGTTGTTTAAATTATAAATAGTTGAAAGGGCCAAAAATAGAGATGATAAAGACAGGAAGGAGAGATAGCAGAGGGAGCTACTTGGGAGATGTTGAGACTCTAATTCCTAACCACAATGACTCCCTCTCCTCTGTTCTCTCAACTTTCAACTCTATCGGCATCGATGTCGAAGCCACCGTCGCTCTCTTAGGTATCTTTTAATAGCAAAGTAATGACATTATTACTTTATTATACGGAAATAAAAAGTTACCATATTACTTTTCTTGGAGAAAATGTACTTTCTTAAAAATAGGAATGATGTTGATTTTGATTGGTCAATTTATATGTAACTGTAGGTGCTCACTCAGTGGGTAGGGTCCACTGCGTTAACCTAGTGCACCGGCTATACCCAACGATCGACCCGACCCTCGACCCAAGTTACGCCCTTTACTTGAAAAATCGTTGCCCAACTCCAAACCCGGATCCGAACGCCGTCTTGTACTCCCGCAACGACCGTGAGACTCCGATGGTTGTTGACAACATGTATTACAAGAACATCATGGCTCATAAGGGTCTCCTTGTCATCGATGACGAGCTAGCCTCTGATCCTAGGACCGCTCCTTTTGTGGCTAAGATGGCTTCCGACAATTCTTACTTCCATGAGCAGTTCTCACGCGGTGTCACGCTCTTGTCCGAGACCAACCCGCTCACTGGAGACCAAGGGGAGATCAGGAAGGATTGTCGTTATGTGAACTAATTGATTATCACATTGTGGGAAGAATTATAATAATCGTCATATATACCTATATATCTATGAATGTATCATGTATGTAAATGTTTTGGATTCAATAAGAAGAAATACCAAAACCCTTTTATGGATTGAAATATATTTGGATATGATCGTCTCAAGATTCGATGTGATTTTTGTATTTTGTCATTTTTTGGTATATTCTTGCGTGATTTGAATTTTCAAAAGCAACTACCGAGCAGAACCTTTTCGAATATTAGTTAGAATAGTACCATAAAAACCGCTCAGTGATGATATTTAAATAAGCTGAACTAGATCATAAAATTATACGATACATGTAATACAAGCTTTTCTAGCTTTTATTGTTAAATTGTCACTTGTATATGTTTATAAAAAGACTATAAGTCAACGTCGGGGGAAATAAAGTAATCAACTTACTCCAAGCCAAACCATCATCGTGTTTGTTTAGTTCTGAGATGCCAAACGAATTGGGTACTTCTCCATGTGTATCCATTGACTCTTTTTACAAATTCTAAACTAAAATCATTTCCATTATTATAAGAGCTTTTGAAAATTCGTTTATCGGCGAATAATTGGTCAGTCTCGTTTGGTGTCTAATTAATAGACCCTATTTATTTGTGTACGTATAAGAAAATGGCAAATATTTATAACATTTATAATTATAGTATCAAGATATAGATCTTCATCTCTATCAAAAACTCATGTGCTGTATATTAAAACAAATTGAAGTCATATCACATGCAAAGTAAACTCACAGAGTCAAATGAACCACTAGTTTAGTCTAACTATTAAATGGATCTAATGCAATTCATAGTCAAAGAGAGTATTACCTTTTTTGGGTCAAAGAGTATTACTAATACTGAAATAATATAATTATAAGATAATTGCTATGATGAACCTTGGTACGTGAGCGAACAATGGTACGGTGTATATTTTATAGGATGCCAATTACACTTCTCTTCAAACACGTTCAAAAAAAAAAACTTCTCTTCAAACTATACTTAATTAACATTCTTGATGATTTTTATCAAGATGTGTGAACGATTGATTGGTTAAAGATTTAAGAACTGTAAAAAACTAAATCAAGGTACACATCTCTAATTCTCTATGTCTCTTCCAATCGGGATTTAGGTGTTGAAGAAAAATATTCTAAAGTCTCCAAATATATAGTTTTGGGATGTTTAATGGTTTATTGGGTTTCACCACATTGTTTGGCTCCGTAGACCGGAAACTCATCTTTCTTGGGCCAAAAACAAAAGTCTAAAACTCTCTACTTTTTTTTAACAAGAATGAAATCGGTGATCTATATTCAATTGTTAAGTTAACAAATTAGATTAATATAGGCCTGACTCTGAAGTATTTGATGTAATTTATATATGTAATACATATTTGTTTTGACTTATTGTGATAGATAAAATGAATTCGTAGATTATATTCAGTCTTCCCACCAAAATTAAGGAAGATTAACTGGTGGTAAGGTCATCTGAGAGTAATTCAAAACTAACAGAGAAGTTTACATTTTTTTTTTTTTTGACAACGAAAATCAATAAATTTGTTGAGAGATGATCCTTTGAGTGTTCCTGCAAAAGGAAAAGAAGACAAGAATCATCAGTTATTAATCAGTAATCCAAAGAAGAAATGAAGAAGAAGGAGATCATGTTTCGTAGAAGGAAGAAAGAAGGAGAAGAGAAAAGTCAAAGAGAGTTTAGTCAAAGAAAGGAGTTGGGCTACTAAGAATAAACAAGTGGGCCTGTGGATGTGTACAAGCCCAAAAGAAGAAAGAAATGAGAGTTTGTGTGTAAGTGTATTGTGTGTTATTATTGAGTTTAAGAATGAGCAGTTAAAGTAGTGAGTAGAGTTGTTAGAAGTCTAAGTTAAAACAGTTGTGTAAGATAGTTTATGGGTTAGCCGAGCCGTGCCTGAGATTTCTCTAACTACAAGCGAGAAAAAAAATTGGCCCCTTAAAATTTTTTTTGATACAGTTAAACCCACAAATAATTGGCAAAAAAGAAGAAAAAATGACATATATGTGTTTGGGAAGAGTTGAACTCAGGCAAACCTTTAACCAAATATGCTTTTACTTATTCATAAACCACTTGAACTAACTTTAACTTTGAAAAATTAGCCCAAAAAAAATATTTAACACCTCCGGCCCTGAAGTACATGTTTCATTTAGCCTGTGCTCAGACACGACTCTGTGGGTTAGAGTTAAGGTGTAGTAGTGATGAAGGTTAGTAAGAGTAGTTAAAAAAAAAGGTCTATATGTATGAGAAGAATGCATGTAATGAGACACAAAAGAAATGAATGAAGAAGATGAATGTTAAGAAGAAATATCGATATTGAAAGAAAGAGAGTGAAAGAAAACATATTTTAAAAGAGTGAAGTTCAACAAAATTATACATATAAGTTAAAATGTTAATTGTGGGGCCTCTCTCTATTTAGTTCAACAACAAATTGATTACTCCATTTAAATAATATTTTAAGATTACCTGCCAAAGCGACCTTGTGTAAATTTATGTCGTTTTATCTCTTTCTTTCTTTTTTTTTCACCTTGTCTTTATCTCTTTTTGTGTCCGAAAACAGATCTCCGATTCCTAACTCTCCGAATTGTTCTTTGCCGCATCGGATCTCAGAGATTATTTTGGATCATAGCCAATGAGCAGTGAAGGTTCCGCCGGAAAGGTACGTCTCCGCTTTTGGAATTTACTCCTCGATGAACTCGAATTGGGTTTTTACTATCACCTTCCTCTTCCTTGATCCATAATTTGGTTATCAATTTTTTTTTTTTTTATATTGTTAGATTCATTAGAGCTGAGCTGTATCTTATGATGGAGGCTATCAGTTTTGGCTGTTGCTTGGGGTTATAGTCTTGATCTCGATGATCCCTTCGCATGCATTGTTAATTTTGAACATGATCTGGAATTTACAGAGGATTTTCTTACTGTGATTACATTTCGTTTGTTGAGATAGTTAAAGGCTTTAATCCTAAAGGCGGTTCCTTTGAAAGGGAAAAGCTATTGAAATCATTTGTTTCTTTCAAAGACCTGAGGTTCACTTGAATTTCGATTGTATTTATGGATTCAGAGACAAAATTACCCTGAATTTCTCCCAAAGATTACATTTTATTTAAGAAGAGTTAGTCATAATTAGGCCTCTGAACTTGGCAAAATCATTGAAAAATGACATTTATAACCGATCATTAAAATAATATACCTTGGCCTTTGGAATCAGTGATAGTGATGGTTTATATGCTTTGACATAGCCGTGTTTATGTGCTTTTTGGTATGAATTGTGGATCCGCAGGCGGCTGCTGAAGCCAAAGGATTGAACCCGGGATTGATAGTGCTGCTTGTTGTTGGAGGTCTGCTTGTGACATTCCTTATAGCCAATTACGTGATGTACATGTATGCTCAGAAGACTCTACCCCCAAAGAAGAAGAAGCCCATCTCCAAAAAGAAGCTCAAGCGTGAGAAGCTCAAGCAGGGAGTCCCCGTGCCTGGTGAATAGATTCCAACTTCTTCTTCTTCTTCTTCTCTCACTTCTTCATCGGTCTGTACTAAAATTTACCTTTGCGGTTTTCTTTTTCTTCTTGTCATGACAATGTCAGTGAGACTTTTTGTATGGTTTAACAAGCAGAGTAGAAACCATCTTTCTTTTGCTTTGGTTATTAGACTTCAGTATTTGAATCGCAACTTTTGTTTTTCCTTAACATAGTTGGTCGCAGGTGTAGAGTCTCCCATGATCACTTTACTTATATTTGTCCATGTATTTTGTCAGCTTTATCGATCCAAAGTTTTTTACTCGAAACTCTGTTACCTTAAACCAATCCGGTTTCCCTTATACCAGTCAATGTTAGGCCTTACGAGTTGTTGTGAAACAACTGAATATTACCAACCATCTCAAATACAAGTGCGTGAAAGTAAAGATATACATATGTTTGTATTGTATGCGTAGTAGACCGGTACAAGAAAGAAAAAAAGAAAGATACACGACAAATTACACCAATAGAATGGTTTATTCAAAAAAAGTAAGCAAGAGACAATATCATAGTTGGAGTTTCACATAAGACACTTGTTTCAACAACGGTGTGTATACAAATGTAACAAGTGCTATTTAGACCACTCGACTCAAAGCAAGCTTCACTTACGCCCCATAGTTTGTTCTCTGGGAGGGAGCACCACCACGGTGGACTGAGCATTGAATCCCGGGTGAAGAACCTTCCTGCGGATCTCACGGCCTTCTTGGCAAAGGGCACATGTGTGGCAAAGGACATGCGTCACAAAGTCACAAGTCGTCTCCATATGTTCCCTTTGCATTTCATCCTCTATGCAGCTACCGCAGCAACCACACGACCTGTTCATCGCCTCAAAGCTTCCCTGTTTCAGCTCAAAAAGAAATCCAAAAATGGGGTCAGGAGATGCAATTTGTCCTTAGATGCAAACAGTGGAATAAAAAATGGGAAGACAAATGTAAAGGTTGCAAAACGGGACAATTGTAATGGACAGGGCACTAGAGCCACTAGAGGGCCTATGAGACAAGGCTTGTCCTTCAACAGGTACTATATTACTAGTGAATTGGGTGGAATACAGCCTAAGATCAGTTAATCCAAGCAATCAAGAAAAGATATAAAGACAATAGTTGATCAATCTTTTCTTAGAAGACAACCCTTTTTTCCCCAAATTGACTTCTCTGCATATTTGAAATGAAGGAAACAGAATCATTACCTCAAGGTTAAACTTTCGGCGAATGGCAGAACGGCTGGAGTAAGAGAACCATGGAGCAAGGCAGTTCCAGCCAAACAACGAATTGCCGACAAAGTACAATCCTAAATACGTCAAGCAGTGGTTCGAAAACGTTCCCGGAGCAGACCCAAGCCTCTCTGCATTAGTTCCATACAGCACACAGGGAGCCACACTTCCAAGAAGACCTACAAAGAAGCCATTATCTCATCACTTAAAGGTTTCATCTTGCCAATAAGCAGCACATAACAAACATTTTCATCGGATAAAAAATCTCATCTTGAGATTTCTTCTCTTAATTATCTATTAAGCAATCGAAAGCTTAACATTCGTGACCCATTTATAGCTGAGCTCAAATAAGATCCGAAGATTGACTCTTTCAACAACCACGCCAATGACCAAGCCCAGAAAACAAATTGCAATCAGAAATTACCCGATCACTTCCAGTTCCAATTCAATCAATCAACTTCGACCAAAATCAAGAAACCCATTTCAAAATTCCCCCAATTTCAAAATCCAAAACATTAGAAACAAACGAGATACTCACAAACTTCGAGATCGCTGCTGCAGAATTCATCATTTCGGCCAAGACAAGCAAAGAGACCAGAATTCCACTGGTTTCTCCCGATGGGCTCTCCGATCACGCTCCCATGGCTCACCGGCAACCCATCCGCCGTCCATCCGTATCCCTCCGCCGCGGGAGGAGGAGACACAATCGGTGTCGTCTTGGTGTCCCCTTTCGAGCAGATCTTGCTGTCGTTCGCTTGCAAGAGAGGACTCGATTCCTCACGGTCGTCGCCTCGTTGAGCTTCGCGGCTTTCGTCTCCCGCCATATTCTGCTAGAAAATTACGGTAGATCCTCTGAACAAACGATTTCTCTCTTTGATCTAAACGATGAACGAAGTACAAATGTATAAAAAGAGAAGAAAGAGAGAGAGAGTCTATAAATCTATAATTATTTATTGGGAGTCGCGTACGCGAACGCGTTAAGGAATTGAATCACATAAGTCAGAGAGACCCCTTCGTGTTATTTTAATTTGATTAGGAAATATTTTGAGCTCATTAAGATCTCGGCCTATCTAGGGCCCATGAAAACTTATTCTTGTGTGAAACTAAATGGCACTTTTTTTATTCCATTTTAACCGAAAATAGTTAATAATCAAAAATAAACCATGAGGACTTACTTTATTCTTGTGGGAAAATAAATGGTGCAATTGTTTTTCTATTCAATAAATTTTGAATATAAGGATATCTTCGCATGTGTCGAATTATTTAGACATATTCAAAATATTGTTATGCTTTAAACCCATATAAAAATTAGTGAATAAGTTACTAGAGGACTACAGTTATTTTTTAAAAAAATAGTCAAACGGTAAAAGTTTGGATCACTTATGATTATCTAACAAACACATACATACTAAAATTTTATGTATCTTGGTAAAAAAAAAAATCGGTTTCTTAGATATCTAGGATTCTTTTTTCTCTAGGATTCTAAAAACACAAACCTATAAGTATCAGCATAACACAAAAATGAATCTATAAATTATTTTCTAGTTAGGATAGAAGTTTTTTTTGAATTAACCGTCTCTCACTGGCGATGAGAATGGCGATTCTGATTTCTCATCTTTAAATTCTTATTATTCTTTTCCAAAATGATTATTACTGGATATGCTTTATTCTTCTTCATAACAGTTTCTATCTGATGGTGATCTGCGCAATTTTTAGAGCAATTATCCAATTGCTCTTTCAATCTCAACCGTTTCTTTTCTAGAGAGCGGGTTTTCCCAAATCTGACGCTGGTCTGGAGTGTAGTGATTCCATCTTTGTGTTCTTCATCTCCGTAGCCGGACTTTCACCACGCTACGATGAAACTATCGGATATAACAATTTCAGTTATGTCCTATATATTGGAATCATATGATCGATTTGTGATTTATACTCTAATTTAAAAATCCAATATCTTCAATTTTACTACTGTTTCTTCAATTTTCTTCCAAGAACGTGTTGGTGCATTGGTCGGAGGATATGGGATCCGGGAAAACGGAAACTACCAAGAAAGGAACAACATGTATGAGTTGAAAATGTAACCTTTTTGTTGTATGGCGATATTCGTACAATCGTTGAAAATTGACAATCTCAAATTCTATTTCTTTTGAAAGAATCAGTACATTGGATTTTGAATAAAAGAATATCTTTAGATCTAATTTGGGAGTTGGTCAATATAATACAACATGAGGAGATTGTGTTTAAATTGGTTATGCTGACAACCAAAAATGAAGTTCGCATCAGTTCGACAACAATAACGAGAACAAATTCGACAAGCATCGTCATTGTGTAAACATATGTATTTTTTATTTTTGTACTTTCTGTGTAATCTGAAATTTTATATATAAATGAAAATAGATGTTAAAAAAAATATATATTTTCTAGTTCTGTATATAAAACTATTTAGTGTACGAACGAAATTGTTTATATACATGTCATAGATAGGACAATAGAAAAATGTTATATCGCCAGGGAACCACAAGATTCTCTTGGATAAATTTAAAGCCCTCATTTTCAGCGAAACTCTCCAAAGTAAAAAAATCCAACAAATAATATTCATATCAATTAATTTTTCTCGAGAAAATACAAGAAAGAAAAGAAAAAAAGAACATAGTATGAGAGTATATAATATTAAAAAAAATGCAAAACCATTACGTAAATCCCAACCTTCGGTTTTCGGGAACGAGTTTCTCTCCGATTCTCGAAGGCTCCGAGTTACAGCGCGTGAGTACCAAGCGCCGTCGTCGTGGAGATCTCAAAACGCTCCGTCTTTCTTCTTCACTCGCCTCTGATTCTCTACCGGAACTGGAAGCCTCCAATCTCTCTGTTTCAGTAACACTCGAAACCGACACATTTTCCGGCGAGGAGATGACGTCATCATCGTGTCGTCGAAAACGAGGTTCCTTTGTCTCTTCTTCTTCTTCTTCTTCTTCTTCTTCTTCTTCTTCTTCTTCTTCTTCTTCTTCTTCTTCTGCTTCCCAGAAGTTATTAGCCAATGAAGGAGATCTATACGGTGCAGATCTGCACCGAGTTAGTAACAGAGCATTTCTCGGTGGCGTAGCTGTGAAAAATTTATCCGAATTTGTTTCTTCTTCTTCTTCTTCTTTTTGTTTTCGTACTTCTCTTCGAATCTCCTCCGGTTCCTCTGGCTCCACCGTGGAGCGGCCGAAGATAGGCTCACTCCTCGACGAGCTTGATCTCTTCTCTGACTTTCTCGAGAAACTAACGTGAGAAAACGATTTCCATTTGCGCCAAACAGGGCTAAAGCAAGTCGGTTTGAGTTTCCCGGAGAAAGGATGGCAAGAAAATGCGTTCTTGACCCACCCGCACCGTCGCCGACGCCGGTGGCTTTCCGTTGCACCTCCTGCGACCCGATTAGTTCCGGGTTTGGGTTTCTTTGACCGGTTTATCCTGACTTGACCCATGCAAGTGACTTTAGGTGAAGACGGTTCTTGTGTCTCCGTCGCCGCGTTTTTTCGCCGGAAAAAAATAGGTTTTCTTGAACGGGAACGGCCTCTGCTTCTGCTTCCGGCGTTGGTCCGCAAGAACCGCATAAGCAGAGGCGGGTTTTCGGTTCGACCCGGACTGGAAACGGGTCTTGAATGAAACCTCATCTTTTTTAGTACTGACAAATTTTGAAGCTCTCACTCTTTTTTTGTTCTCGCTTCTCTCTGGTCCCTATATGATTCAGATCGAAGGCTGCGTTTTTTTTTATATAAGTATATTTTTATTTCCATTTTATATGTATGTTTAGTTATGTTCACACGTTGGCGTTTGGGAAATTGATGGCCAAGATCTTTTCTACAAAAGGAGATCGACGGTTCTGCACGGCTAATCCTTTTCTCAAGGAACCCTTTGTATTTTAACAATGTTGTACTTTTTGTCAGTGTGCTCTCGAGTTGTTTTTTAAGATCTCTTGCTGGATTCACTTTTCGGGACATCTTTGCTTTTTGTTTGAAGCTATAAAAGTTACTGTTCTGACACTCTTTTTAAGTGTTAATGAAGAGCATACAAAGTTGAAATGGTACAGTTTTTTCATTTCCTTCTTCAGTGCATACTACATCTGGTATTTTTCTTAATGAATCATCGTGACTTAATAAAAAAAGCATGGTCATTATGTAGAACTTAACACATTTAAACGGTCGTTAACTCATTATAATTGTTTTTTAAAATGCGAAGAACTTTGAGATGTGTACGTATGTATATTTTACGAAAATACATTATCACTGCATTTTTTCAGATCTAAAGGTGAATGAAAACAAAACCATAGAAAACTTGGACGCACAAATTAAGATATACAATAGACTGAAAGACTCATAATATAAAAAAGTAATCAATGTAGCTCCAAATGATCTCCCATTTGGAAAGGAAGGAGTAAAAAGCCTTCAGATAAGAAACGTATTATTCAGAAGTAAAAAAGGTAAGGCACCAACTAATTTGCATAGCACGTGCACGTTGTTGATCTCTTTCAGTTTTCTCTTTTCTGACAAAAACAATAAATAGTGGCATCTAAACTTTTGTGGTCTTAACTAGCGGTGTTATATTTGTCAACTATCTTGGTCTTCTGCTATTTACCCAACAGAATATGACTTCATGCCCCATTAGACATTAGCCATTATCGACAAAATCAAATCTAAGTCGCTCATTTCAATATGATATGAAAATTTTTCATTAGTTTTTAGTTTATTATATTAAAAGTAAATCTGTTTGGCTATTATTTTCATATTTGACGACTATAGATGTCTTGGGCACATATGATGTGCGATGCTTCATTCTCAAGCCATGGTATTTGGCTTTGAAAAGTCTCATGAAACTTCAGCACCTTGCAAACCTCTTCTTCAATTACCATATTGAAGATTTCACATCTTGTTCTTTTTTTTGTTTGACTCCTGGATATATTGGCTTTAATCAACACAAGAAAATTGTGTAATTACTATGGATTAGACAAATAGCAATGGATAGTAAGAAAAAGTTATCGGTCGCAAATCCATAGCAACAAAAATAGTGGGGGATTGGTCTATGTTTTTTATTTTTTTTTGCAAAAAGTTTGAGTCATAATATTTTCCTAAAAAAAGAGATACCAATTGGTATCCATTTAGTGACCAATATCTTTGGTCAATCGATCAAGTTCAAATACAAAACAGCTTCATTCTCAATGGAATAATGGTCTTTTCCGTTAATTGATGGTCATCTATTATTCAATTTCAACCAGGTAAACGTATTGAAAATAAAAAGTAACTTGTTAATAATTGATGGTCGTTTATTATTCAACGAGGCAACGTTGTGTTAGTTTAAAAATAAAAAGAATAAAACAAGGTGATGTATCGAAAATGAGTTATTCAAATTAATGGCATTGGTACACTAACATATAGACTTTTTGTTGTTGTGGAGAATGGAGGTCACGCCAACCTAGATACAATATCAGTATGGTTTGTGACTTATTTTTATTAATTTATTTGTTAAAGGGTTTTCAGTAAAAGTAAAAATATACAATGTTTTTGCATAGTTTAAACGAGTAGATAAGAAATGTAACATACACTTAAAAAAAGTATGAGAAAAGAAGCAAATCCTATAATAAAGTATGAGAAAAGAAAAGAGAAAACCACAAATTTGAAACTTTAACAAACTGGTTTAAAAGTGGAGGAGACTACTAGACTAGTCAAGGCTTCCACGTCCACATTGTCATTTGTTTTCTTGGTAAGCTTAATCGTGTGGTTGGCTTTTTTATGGAAGCTTAAACATATATACAACGTGCAAACTGATTTTTATCCGCTAAAGTGCATGATATCAATCATAACGACATCCTTGTAATCCAAACGGCGTGCTATGCAAGTGAATATATATATATGACGTTGGATTGTTTCTTAGAAATTTTGAATTTCATCACAAGATTCTTAAATTATAGCAGACCAAGATTGGCCCAATGCATGCCGGCCTGATACAAAATATAATATAGCCATATAGTCACTTATAAGATGATGTAATATAGGCTAGGAACTACTATTGTGATTCACATCGATATGAGGATAAAGTTTTTTCCCTCAAGCAAACAATATACGTAGTTGATAAGTTTATGTTCGATCCGATTTGCTAATCCCATTTTTAATTCAATCGTAACCAATCCAGTTTACTGCTCCATACATCGACCACCAAAAATTTATTTATCCTACAAAATGAAAAGTTCTCATTTTGATAATAACCATAATCATCGCAACCACTGCAATAAGAATTAGTGTAGCATTAAGATTCATCAGTAAGCAAAGTTCTATTTTAATATTAATTTGCTATTAACAGTAACATGTTTCAGTTAATGTGTTCTAATCCCAACAACTGGTTGTTGCGGAAGACAAACAACACAAGCAATCATCAAACATAGTACTCATCTTACCGTAGCTCACCGGTTTCAATCACATACCAACAAAAAATAAAGAGAAAAACTAAACAATTGTCATATAATTCTTATATATCAGAATCTTCACACATTCTTCTTCCCCAAAAAAAAGAAAAAAAAGGCAACTCACTCAAGAAACTCTCTTTGTTAGAAAGAAGGTGTAATCCTAATGGGATCTCTTGAGAGATCTAAGAAGAAAGCTCAAATATGGAAGAAAGCTGTGATCCATTTCTCTCTCTGTTTTATAATGGGTTTCTTTACTGGCTTTGCTCCTGCTGGTAAGGCCTCATTTTTCTCTAATTTTGAAACAACTCCTTCTACTTCTATCAAATCTCAGATTCATCCCCAACCTCTTGAGAATTCTACCTATACGCCCAATCCTCTCCATGATAAAGCCTTGGTCGATTCCCAAGGCCAAGCCCCTGCTCCTGCAGACTCTCGAGAAGCCCAACAAGAAACCAGATCGCTCTCCGAGACAGAAGAGGAAGTAACACCAAGAGGTCTAGTGATTGTTGTAACTCCGGTAATGACAAAAGAACGTTACAAAAACGTTCTTCTTAGGCGAATGGCCAACACCTTGAGGCTAGTTCCACCTCCTTTATTGTGGATAGTCGTGGAGAAACATTCTGATGCTGACGAAAACTCTTCATCTACAATGCTAAGAAAGACTGGTTTAATGTATAGACGTATAGTCTTCAAGGAAAACTTCACGAGCTTGGAATCAGAGCTTGATCATCAAAGGAACCTTGCGTTGAGACACATTGAGCATCACAAACTAAGCGGAATTGTCCATTTTGCGGGGCTAAACAACATCTATGATCTTGATTTTTTCGATGAGATTAGAAATATTGAGTATGTAAATTTTAAAACCAAGTGTTATGTCTAGCTACATTTGCTATAATCATCAAATATTAAATTGCTTTCTATTTTGCAGGGTATTTGGTACTTGGCCACTGGCCTTGCTATCGGCTAATAGGAAAAGAGTGATAGTAGAGGGGCCGGTTTGTGAATCTTCACAAGTATTGGGATGGCATTTGAGAAAAATTAATAATGAGACAGAGACAAAGCCTCCGATTCATATATCAAGCTTTGCTTTCAATAGTTCAATACTTTGGGACCCTGAGAGATGGGGTCGTCCTTCTTCTGTTGAGGGCACCAAACAGGTAACTTGACTTTCAATATTTTATCTATTCATCTTTTTTTTTCTTTAAAATTTGCTTGATGAGCATGAGAAGTAGAGATTGAAGATAATTTAAATGTGGATGGATAGGTTGGTAAGTTAGCACATCACGGTCATAAAAGCAAAAATTATTCTAAACCAAATGATTTCCTCAATCCTTAGGCTTTTTAATTTTAATGAATCACGAGAAAGATCGTCTATAAACCACATATCATTAATGCATAGGAGGGCTTCATTTAAATTTTGTCTCGGTACAAATACCAGTCTCTCATACTAATTGTTTTCATTATGCGTAATTGTTTTTCTACTCTATTGTTTTTTTTATATGTTTTTTTTTTTTGCATAGGATTCGATTAAATATGTGAAGCAAGTGGTTTTGGAGGACGATACAAAGTTGAAGGGACTTCCGGCGCAAGACTGTTCCAAGATAATGCTTTGGCGTCTCAATTTTCCCACAAGAACACATTTAAGCACCTAATCTGCTTTATTTTATTTCTAATCTCCTCCAAATTAGACTTTTTCCTCTCTTTTTTCGGATTCATACATCACAGAAAAAAAAAAAACACTTCAAGAGAACTAAAGCAGTAGAAAACAAATACGACAATTGTCTATCTTTGGATTTTATATATGTCAAAGCCTCACATGCCAAAACCGAAACTTAGAAAGGACTGAGAGCCCTAGTTAACACAAATTAAAGAAATTTTTAAAATCTGCTACACAAAGGGGAGATAAACATATCCAAAATAACGTATATGAGAGATTTGAGATACATAAATTTTACGTGATAGCTCTATCAAAATATATAAAAAAAAATCCATCCAAATTGGGAAAGAGTCGAAGCATGATTGGTTATCACGAATGAATTGAAAATCATCTGCAATGTATTTCTTCCTTTTCATGGGTTATTGCTAATGTCAAATCGTAACTTGGCTATCACAATACATCGAAATTGACTGAAAATGAAAAATTGGGAATCTTAAACCAAAGTAACTCGGAGACCCAGGTAAGGATATATAGTTTGGTATATTGTCACAGCCAAAAAATTATGAAAGTGTGTTTTGTTTTAGTTGCCGGTTTCAACTTTCTAATCACATGAAATTGATTAACTTAAAGGCCAATTCAGGTTAGATATGAATGAATATGAATCTTCCAAGCGAAGCAACAACTATTTTTTTCCCAATAAAACTCTATAAATATAGTGTGAGGGACAAGGACCGACCAAAATTTGGGGATATCAATGTCCATAAATCAAATAATACGACCTTAGAGCGTGTACTACTTAGTATTAAATAATAAAGTATGCAGGTTGCATTTTTCTCCCGGTAACCTATTGCGGTGGCAACTGGGAATTCCTAGGATCCCCGAAAAGATAAAAACAGCAATGCATGGACTTTTCCATTAACTAATTGATAAAAAAAAAAGAAACATAACCTATATATAAGCTAATATGAGTACTACTACTCCATCAAAAGTATACACAATTTCAAATTTAAAACAGGAAGAAGTAACTCGATTATCCCATATGATCAACTAAATTCTTAGTTTTACGATAAGAGTAAAAGCGATAGAAAATTAGTCATCGTTTTTTTTTTTAAATAATCAGAAGATTTTTTTTGTTTGTTTAAATCAGTAAATAATTACAATGAATATCAAAAATAAGGATGAAAGGAAAACGTGATATAATTTATTAATTAATTTCAAAATCAATAACAGCTAAATGAAACCTAAAACATAAACAGGTTAATTATATGAAATCCTAAGAACACTACGAAAATAATATAGTAGTATATCAAAACAAAATGAACATTAAAAGCTAAATATAAATAAAATACAGATATAGAATAAGTATCAATCATTTTAGGAGTTCACTTTTTGTTTTTCAACGGCAGTTACATAGGTGGTTGTTGGGTCAGTGGTAGTCCATTTTGACTTAACCGTTTGAAATTAAGGAGGTCGATTTCTCTTTTCCATTCGTTAGATAATTTAATCAATGAAACATTGTTTTATAATTAAAAAGTATCAGTTTAATGTTATCAATGTCGCGTGTAAAGAAACGTCTGTATTCAGTTACTAGATCTAATAATTTTACCAATGTGATATGATGCATGAAGGAGGATAGTCTATGCCAGAACAATGTGATTCAAATAAACTCTATAAAAAACCGAACCCTAAGAAAAAAGTAATTGTACTGAGGGATTAGGTGCATCTTTTTTCGCAAAATAAAGGTAGATGATAAGAGTTAAAATATATAAAGTATAGAGAGAAATGCATCTTAAATTTATTTTATTAAAACATAAGCATATTTAATGCTTGTATCCAAACATTCCTAAAGGTTTTTTTTAAATATTTTATTCTATTTTTATATTTAATTTCCGAAAATTAATTAGAAATAAAAAATAAAACATTCTTGTGCAGACGCATGGAGTTAAAATCTAGTTCTTGATTTAATCTAGTCTTTGATTTAATCTTTATTCAGACAATAAAATAATAATTAGGAAAAAAAATATATAGGGGCTTGACGGCTTGTAACTCATATTACCGTTAGCAACTAGCAATTAAATAAGTAGGAATATGAGGCCAAACAATGTCACGTGACTCTGGCGCGTCGACAAGCGCGTAACTCAAAATCGCCACGCCTATCTTTCACTTCGTTTAGTTACATTTCTTTTTACTGTTTTTTTTGGTTAAATGAAAACGTAATCTCCTTATGTCTTATTACTGCTGTACTCCTATTTTCTTCAACTTGATGCAATTATCAATCCCACAAGAATTGTATTTTGTTTCTCTTTTTGAACAATGGCTTGTAGAATTCTATTCCTTTATAGTGAATACCTAAACTTAGGATTAATGGCCAAATGTGTGAAAAAAAATATTTCTACATATTTGTAATGTCGTGAACGCATCTTCATTATATTAGTAGTGTCCTTTTTTTTTTCTTGGTACAACACTGTATTGATAGTGTCTATACTCTAATAAAGTAAGTTTGAAATATTTGTTAATTGTGTTCAAGTTCATTGCAGCTTCTTGTTTTCTTGTTCTTTTGTACATAAACCAATTCCACCTTAATTCATAACCAATTTCGCAAACTTATTTAAAAGATTCTAAACAACGAATGTCATTCAAGGTCGGAAAGAGAAGGGGGTAAAAAAAAAACCAGGGACTACTTTGATATAAAAGAAAAGGTATCGGGGTAAAATAATGATTTCACCGAAATCTATTTTTTCCATAGTCTCTCTATCCCTTTCTGGATATTAATGTTAACAAATAGACAGTTCACTGGAAAAAAAGAAAAAGACTTGGGAAACGAGAAGAGTCAGTGAGAGAACAACACTAGGGACAAAGAGAGAGGAAGAAGAAGAAGATGATGTCCGAAGCTCAATTGGTCTAACTAAAAGCTCGTGGAGTTTTCTTCTGCAATCTTTCAATTTTTTCTCTTTTCCATTTCCTTGCATCTCCAATCTCTCTGTTCTAAAAGCATTTTGGACCAAAAGAGGAAGCTAAAGCCACAGTTTGCAGGTGAAGAACGTCGAACACTACTTCTTTCTCTTCATCGAATTAGCTTTCAATGATTTTCCCGTAGACTAATTGGGTTTTTATCTGTTTCTTTGATGGGCTCAAAATAACTAATTTATTTCCTTTTTTTCTGCGTTTTATCAGTTATTTGTGCGTTTATTATGCTGCAGAAACTATAAATCTTTTGAGGGTTTGGGTAAATTATCATGTTTACTCTCCTCTGAAAATTAAACAGCTTTTTTTTAGGGTTGTTAGCTTCAAGATTCAGCCATAAAATTTAATAATATTTTCCAGGAAAAAGCTAAGATTTTCTAAGAAAGAGTTCTTCAAAATTATTTTCTGAAATTTAAAAGTTTTCGTTTAGGCTTAAATTCAAATTTCTAACTTGGTTTTTTTTTCTTTTAAGATCTGTTATTCTATTTTGGGAAAAATACACCTAATAAAACCAGAACCTACCGTTAACAAAATGACAGAAATTGTTCTTTTCTACCCAAAAGATTCCAAATTTTGAAGAGAAACAAAAACCAAAATTTAATGACTTGACAACTAAAAAAGATTATGTGGAATATAAATGTACTTTCTTTGCTTGTAATTGGGTTTATCTTTGTGATTGGATTGAAGAATCACACTGAGATGGAAACTTCTCCTTTTTAATGTCCTTTCCATTGACTGTGAACAGCTTCTTTTATGTTTGTCTTGTTGCGTTGGTTTGGTGGTAGTGGTAGTTAGTTTCAAATGGAGTCTCTTTGAAGCTAATGCATTTGTGTAGTTTAGTTTGTTAGGTTTTTGTTTTTGTTTTGGTACACTTGCTTAAGCTTTGTACTTCTGTTGAGTTTGTTGTATATGCTTATGATAATCTTATAATACAATTTTGTGTTTTCTTGCTTCTTTCTTACACTCACAGTTTCTCTTCATGTACCAGGTTCTTTTTCAAAGGAGGTATTGATTATACCCAAAAGGAAGTGTTTTGAAACTCTAATCCCAAGCAATGCAGACTCCAAAACCTAGGTGATAATCCTCACACTTGTCCAAAATTTTCCCTGTTGTGTTCTTCTTGGGTCTTTGATGTGGTCTTTGGATTGTTGGTTGTGGTTTTTCAAGTCTTGATCTTGTTCAATGGTTCTTGGGCATGTGTTTTACTGGTTTTAGATTGGTCTCGTACTTGCTTCTTTCGTTTGTTTGATTTACGGTTTAGCGTTATTGTGAATGTTATTGTGGTTGTGATAGGCCGGGATCATTGGAGGTGCCTCAAAAGAAATCTCCTGCAGCAACTCCTAAAACTGCTCGTAAGCTCAAAACTGCAGAAACCGACACTGTTTCGTCTCCCAACACAAAAATCAGGACACCAAAAACTCAAAGTCCCAAAGTAGTTGCTGATCGTCGTTCTCCAAGAACCCCTGTGAATGAGGTACTAGTAGCTTACTTCCACTGCCTATATGATTTTACTCATACTGGTCTCAGTTTTCCACGTCTCGCAAGAACTAGTTTGCGTCGTGGAGAGCCTAGGACGCAATCTTGGTCCTGCTAAGTACTCTTAGGGTGTTTCATATTTTGTCTATACATGATTTCTTACAACAACTAATTAAACCTCAAAAGTTGTTGATTCTGGACTCTTTGCAACAACTGGTTTGAGAAGCAAAACGGGCATGTTGTTGCTTGATATGTGTAAATGTGGCATGTGATGCATTGGTAGCGTAATAACGTTGTTGTTTCTGTATGCAAGATTCAGAAGAAGCGCACAGGGAGAACAGCCGAAGTAGCATCTCAGATATCTCAGCTGCAAGAAGAGCTAAAGAGGGCAAAGGAACAGCTAAGCGCTTCAGAAGCTTTGAAGAAGGAAGCTCAAGATGAAGCAGAGGAGACAAAGCAGCAATTGATAGAGATCAATGCCTCTGAGGATTCAAGAATCGATGAGCTACGTAAGCTCTCTCAGGAACGAGACAAAGCGTGGCAGTCTGAACTCGAAGCAATGCAGAGACAGCACGCCATGGATTCGGCTGCTCTAGGTTCTGCCATGAACGAGGTCCAGAAACTTAAAGCACAGCTCTCTGAATCTGAGTCTGTCGAGAACTTGAGAATGGAACTCAATGAGACACAGTCTCTTGTTGAGAAACTCAAAGGTGAACTGTTTGATGCAAAGGAAGGGGAAGCTCGAGCGCATGACATTGTCTCAGGAACAGAAAAGCAATTAGAGATAGCGAATTTGACGCTTGAGATGTTACGATCAGATGGGATGAAGATGTCTGAAGCTTGTAATTCCCTTACAACGGAGCTAGAGCAGTCCAAATCCGAGGTAAAGTCACTGGAACAACTTGTGAGACAGCTCGAGGAAGAAGATGAAGCTCGAGGAAACACCACTGGGGACTCATCATCAGTGGAAGAGCTCAAAGAAGAAATAAATGTTGCAAGGCATGAGATTAGCCAACTGAAATCTGCAGTGGAAGTAACTGAGAGAAGGTACCACGAAGAGTATATCCAGAGCACGTTACAGATAAGAACTGCTTATGAACAAGTGGAGGTAGTAAAATCCGGATATGCACAGAGAGAGGCCGAGTTAGGGGAAGAATTGAAGAGAACCAAAGCTGAAAGAGAGGCTTTGAATGAGCGATTGATGGATAAGGAAGCTAAGCTGAGGATACTCGCTGATGAAAACGCATTACTGAACTCGAAAATCAAAGAAGAAGAAGAAGTAAACTTGGAGAACAGCTTGAACCATAAAGAGCCTGAGGCTACAGGTGAACTCGAGAAGCTAGAAGCTGATATGATGGAGTTGAGAGGGAATCTAATGGACAAGGAGATGGAACTGCAGAGTGTAATGTCGCAGAACGACAGTCTCAAGAGCGAGATGGAGAAGTTGCAGAGCGAGAAGAACAAGGCTATCGACGAGGCCCTATCGAGATTAGGGAGTCTTACGGAGGAAGCAGATAAGAGCGTGAAGAGAGCAGAAAACGCAACAGAACAGCTAGGAGCAGCACAAGTTACCAACACGGAACTTGAAGCTGAGCTGAGGAGACTCAAGGTTCAGTGTGATCAATGGAGGAAAGCAGCTGAAGCTGCAGCTTCTATGCTCTCTGGTGGTAACAACAACAATAACAGTAATGGGAAGTACGTGGAGAGAACAGGATCGCTGGAGAGTCCATTGAGGAGGAATGTGAACATGTCGCCTTATATGGATGAAATGGATGATGATTTGTCTTCGCCGAAGAAGAAGAATGGGAGTATGCTAAAGAAGTTTGGTGTGTTACTCAAGAAGAGTCAGAAGTGATGATTGAAGTAAGATAAAAGACCGCCATTGTTGTCCGTAATATTCGCTGCTTGTTTTCATAAGTTTTAATGTGTAGACATGTTTTTGTTGCCAAAGTTGTATTGTGAACTACTTTTGTTTCTTTTTCTATTAACTAAGCCCAAACTGTGATAAACATTTATGAAGCTGAACTTTGTTGTTTACACAGAAGCATAATCATAAGACAACAACATAATGATATAACATAATTTAGCAAGTGCAAATCAAAGCTATACATGACACAGCACTTGTCGATCTGTTCTTAACCTAATAGCTTAGGTAATATAAGAAGTCGCAGGTGATTTGGCGTCACTACTATGCTAGATTATCTTCCTCCGCATTGTCGTTGAGTTGTTCCTCTGCACTGACTTTTGAATACATTTTGTTGGTAAGCTTTGGAGAAGACGCAGAAGCTGATACAATCAGCCTGGAACTCCTGGAAACAGGACTGGCCTTTGCTTTAGAACTAGTGGATTCTTGTGTAAGAGGAGACCTTGCTGGTTGGGACTTGGTCCTACTAGTAGATGTTAATTCAATTGGGCTACGAGCACCATGTTTTGGCAAGCCACTTATCGGACCAGTAAAGGAACCTGTGGGTGTTCGTGCAACGCTGCTCCTCGCCTGTTAACAGCAAACATTCATATAAGTACTGAGATTCAACATAGATAAGTATCACTTAACAAATTAAGGAGCTCATTTCCTATGAAAAGAGTTTTACAAATTTGGCAACTTACACCGTCAAAGTAGCCGATTTTTGGTGATGGCACACGCAGTCCTGTTGGCTTCGTCATGGAAGCTGAACGCACCGCACCGCCATTGACAAGTGAACCACGTTTAGCGCCATGTTGATCCGGCTTAAGATCATCTTGGACAGCAGATACATCTTTCGAGTTGTTCAGCAATTCTGGCTTCAAAGTCTGTGTTGTGTCAACAATTTTAGGACCGCTTTCACCAGGGACAGTTTTCTTGTTACCTTTAGCAATTTTATTAGGTGTAGAAGCTCGCGGTGATTCTGATGACCAGTCAACGGAAGAACTAAGAAGTGATACATTGGAGGAAAGCTTAGACTTGTACGTCCTACTGGCAGAGAGGGGTGGAACTCTATGCTGGCCTATAGTTCTAGATGCAGCTTTGGATGTGGTGGATCTATTTGCCAAAGAATGGGAAGCTATTCTTAAACTCTGAGATTTCTTCTGCTTTACGGAATCAAGAGAAGACTTGATAGAAGCGCTTGACGAAACACTGACACAGCTCTCAAGTGAAGAGCAAGAAGATGTCAATTCATTCTTGGAGGCAACCGAAGAAGAACGTAAAGCAGATTTGAAAGGCACTACAGGTTTTGATACAATGGGTCGTAGCCTCCTTGAAATTGGAACTCTGGGAGCCAAAGGCTCTTTACCTGTAAGACCACGGTAAGATGCAGTAGTAAAGAAAACGATAATTCGAAAAGACATGTAAAGACATCTTTAAGAAAAGTTCTGACTGACCCTCACCAGTTGATTTGGGATTCTTTTCTTGTTTGGTTTTGTTAACATCTACCGAAGCTCTTACGCTTTTGCTGAGTCCAATGGGTGACCTGGAAATGGATGTATTGTGTTCTTTTGCAGCAACAGGCTGTAGAAAAATGTATCATAAACAAACACACAAAATATAAATTGCATTCATTTTATCGTTCACTATGAGGTGAGAGGTAATAGTGATTAAATTAGACAAAACATTCAGTTTAAATTCATTAGTTTGTTATCAGTTTGCATTCACTTTAAATTTAGTCGTGCTTATACCACTGATAAATCAGTTATAATCATTCTGTCAGATGCTTTAACATAGCAAGCACATATAGAGAGTCGTCAGTATACCTGCTTTGTCACCTTCCCCAATCCCTGTGCCCTGATACTTGGCCTTTTACGAATAACATTGGGTTTCATCTGAGAAACAAACAAAACAAACACATCTTTCATCAGGGAGGGAGTGAATGATCAAACCACAGCCTCTAGTTGTTTTGTGATTTACCTTTTCCTGAGAGCCAGAGTCGTCTAGCGTACTTAGAGCTACAAATTTCAAATGAGAAAATGTATAAATTGGTCAATTCGATGAGATTCACAGATAACAAAAATTCACTAGGATTCAAACATATGCAGTTTCAAATAGTCCTCCCTATAGTACAATACAATCTAAAAACACAGCAGCTGGATGGTATTTTCACGAAAATGATGGAACGCTTAGAATCTCAGGATAGATCACATTAGATGCGGGCTGGCTGAGGAGCCACAAAGAGAATGATACACTGGAAAAGCTTCATCATCAGAAAGATCTTAAAGTGACGAAAAGCACAACAAAAGACTACAAATAAGATCTTCTGTTCAATAAAAAAGTTATTCAGTTTCATATGAGCTCTTTCTACACCAAAACAACAGAAAAATAATCATAAACAGATACCAATGCCGAAACCTTGTATATCCACTTAAAAATGCAAAGGTAGTTTATGTTCACTGTACTTGATATAAAGAAAACATTACTTGGGCTAGGTGCTGCCTCTCTTTCTCCCAAATCCTTACTCTTGTCAGGTGTTGCAGCATTAGATGATATAGCAGACCTTTGGATTGACGCTCTTACATCTTCAAACGAAACAAAATCCTGACTGGTCTCCACAGTGCAATCACTTTGCAATGTAGATATGGACTCTGTTGATCTATTCACATCCTCTTGAATGATTGGTAAGGTTTTCCTTTTACACATATGGTTGCTTTCAATCATGTTGGACAGTTCATCAGGTTCCAGAACGCCTGATTTAGACAATGACTCTCATCAAAACGAAACAAAATACGATACTGAATAAATGTTAATCCGAAGAAAACAGCAAAAACAAAAACTTGCCTGCGTTGGTGAAAAAGGCTTTGTCCCAGGCAAGACTTTTGCGCAGGTTATACTTCATCATCTTCAGAGGTTCAGGCGATTCGTGAGATTGAAGAAATTCATCTTCCTTCCCTTGTAAAGTAGTAGAGACCAGTATCTCTTCGTCACAATTATGTGTATCCCCAAATAAACTAAGACCTCTGTCTTCTTTCTCAGTGTCTGATTTCATCATCAGAGAGTGTGTGTATGCAAGATGTAAAAATCAAAACCATACAGATGCAATGCCAGATCGTTTCAATCAAAAACAAGGAATGAACAACACTCAAATCGGTTTGTAACAAAGAGAAGGTATCAAATGCAAATATATACAACTTTAATCTTCAAATTAGAAATCTAATCACGAACGCAGGAAAAAATTCCATAAACCCCACACTGAACAAATCATGAATCAGAATCAACACTTCCCAGAAATTAACGAATTCCATAATCAAATCGAAACGAGGACGTGGAGAAACCGTATGGGTAAGAGATCGAATTACCTGAAAATTCAAAGCTGGTGGGATCGGGAAACGAGGAGAGGAGGAGGCTATCGTCCTCATCAATCAGACTAAGCCCAGCGATATCGAGCTCGCATCTCCAGTTCTCGTTGTCTCCCATATGAACAGAGAATTTGATCAAAAATCAAAAGAACCTTTCCAATGCTCGACGGATTAGTAAAGAAGATGAAGATGAAGAAGAATTTGAAACGAAGCAAACCGGCGGTTTCTTAGTATTAATCTTTATTATTATTAGTTATTTCTTTTTCTGAAATTTAGTTTCGTCTCTTTTTAAAACGGAAAAAATAGCGGCGTGTTTTGTTTATCGACGATTATCGAGGGTTTATTCGTTTAAAGAGCACGTTTTTGGTTTAAGCCTTAACCGAAGTAAATGTTTCTACTTTTTTTAATTGGAAAAGGATAATTTGTTAACAGATAATGGCGCCATAAAAACAACAGTAACCAAATAACAATAAGCATCTAATTTTTTTTGCGTTAATAAAAGAATAATAAAATTCACAAAACAAAATTAGAAATTTACGGGTTCTTACTACTTAACAGAATCTGGAACTTTCTATGTTATCATTATCCATGTATAGTATAGGTTGAGCACCTAAGTTTTACAAAAAAGTAAGAATCACACTTAGAAGATTGATAAAAGTTTACAAAGTTCAAGATCAAAATCTATAGTATCTCATGAGAGAAAGAACTAAACACTCATTTAACATTGTTAGATTATTAATAAATGAGTCGAACCATTAATATCTACCAAATTTACTCATTTCTAGTCTTTTGCATGAAGTAATCCACAAACCAACAAACCAAATGTTAAAACGAATTTCTTGACTTCTCCAGAACAAAACAAAGGAAAAAAAGAAAACAAAGAGAGACTATTGTCACAGTTGTGCATAGCAAAACTTGCTTACAACACAAATAATATACAGATAACCCTTTTGGAACCATCATACTAGTCTGTGCCGGGCATTGGAACCATCATATGCTGAGCCTACATTAGATTCAGAGTCATATGTAAAATTAGTTTTAGAGATTTTTTTTCAGGTATACATAGATTAACTCAAATGATGCTTTACAAGTTTTCAGTTCAGTGTTAGCCTATTTCATCAAAACACTCTTAAGGGTCAAGGATTATAAACTTATATCACTGGCTGATTGCTGAGGAATGATCTGTTAGGCTTTGAGATTCTGTTTAAGGCAATGGATACACAAGGAATTGAGACATAGGGATAGTTTATGAGTTAAGTAATGAAGCGGGATACTTGGTGAAAAAAAGAAAGAAGAGAAAGATGTGTATCGCAATGACTACGAGTGTGAAAGATAAGATAGAGGAAACGTTACCTGAGACTGAGAGTTCCCATAAGGACCTTGTGAGAAAGAGCCTTGGTGAGAAAGCTGTGAGAACTGGCAGATGGTAAACAAACCCTCGTGATGTCAGACAATATCGTGTCTAGCTAAAGCGAAAGAGAGAAGAAACGCGCAGATAGTTTGCAAAGACGAAACAATCGTTACAGGTATGAGATTTGAGATATATACCTGGCCATTTTGGCTTGATTGGGCATCTTTCTTTGCATTTGCATCCCCACCTTTTGCTGATCCCTTTGTGTCACCCTATCCATAATTAAACAGGAGACAAGCCAAGAATCAATATTTGATACAATTAGTTGCCAAAAAACAAAAAGACAAATTTTCAAATAGACGAGAAAAACCATCAAGATCAGAAGAGAAGAAGAACACTAACCTCCATCTGCGATTTCCAGTTCATGTAGTAGAAGATGAAAAAGAAAAGAAGAAAAACAGAGTAAGTGAGTGAATTTGAAAAACACTCTACGGCTAACTAATAAACAAAAATTGTGTGGGTGTGTTTACTTTCCTTGGATCCGTAATTTGAATGGAAGGAGAATAGGATGAAACCAAAACATACCTCCCTATATCTCGTTAGGTAAATTTTCAGTGGGTCGATGTAGTCTTCAAATCCTAAAGTTGCCATTGCCCAAAGCAAATCGTCTCCATTAATGGTCTTCCTTTTCTCTCTTTGGCACTTATCACTCGCTCTTCTCATCAAAATCACACAAAAACAATCATTGCGTCAAACAAACATATCTCTGTAAAACTAACACAAATAAAAACATAATCTGCAACATAGAAGCCAATGAAAGAAGCACAACACGAAAAATCAACCGATGGAACAACCAAAATGACCTTGTATTTTCAACCAAATCCGAACATTAAGAAAAAATAAAAACCAAAAAACTCAAACTACACAAGTGGACGTAAATCACCCCTTTTGCAAAACTGTGGCACGCATAGAATCTGAAAATCTAATGTTCCATGTTCAAGAAATGTTCCCATCAAGCATCTATACAGTCCATGAAATAACAATGTTGACAAAGATAAACTTATAAGAAAAAGAAGAAGAAACAACCATACTCGCTGGTGATGAAGCTGATGAATTCGGAGACACATTCCTGAACAATCTCCTTGGCATCTTTAGCGATCTTACCATTAGGAGGGAGACCTCTTTTCATGATACGGCTTATGTTAGCGATTGGAAGGAACCTGTCTTGCTCACGAACGTGCAACGACCTTGGGCTTTGATCTCCGCCGCTTTCATGGCTTCCACAGCCTCCGGGACTTTTGGCCTGCGACTCCGACATCAGATAAACCCTAATCTCCCAAAATCACACCACAAACAAATAAGAAAAAAACCCAAATCGCAGATGAAATCACAAATCGGAGGAGAGGAGAAGACTGATTACCAGAGCAATAAAAAAAACAAAAAAAAAAGGCGGGAGTGAAACAGGTGGAGAGAGGTTGTTTGATTGGAGGAGGAGGACGTAGGAGGGAAGCCAGAGAGATTAATCGGACGCTGGAGAAAACAAGAGAGGGGAGAACATCTGCGATTGAGAGATTAGGTTTTACTTTTTATCAGTACCGTTCGTTTTTTTTTTTTTTATAATTAATTTGTCTTCTGTTTATTCTCTCCACGCCATAGTATCATACCAAATCCAGCCACGCCACGTGTTTTCTTATCTTTACCATTCTAGAGGGAATTAAGTTTTATTTTGTGTTTTAGGTAAAATTATAGGAAAAAGTAATAAAAGGTTTTTAATTTATTTAAGGTGACGTTTTTTTTTTGGATTTTGGACGGTCATTTCGAATCTCGATTCAATTTTTTTCTGGTTGGTTACAAATAGTTATCATATATTAAAACCATAACTTCTTTAATCAGGTTTGAATGTCCTCCACTTTTTTTATATTTTAACTAGATTTTGTGTCCATGCATTATATTAATAAATATTTTAATAAAAAGTACTATGTTGAAAGGTATAATTTTTCCATAACTTTATTTTCATGCAAGAAACGATAGTCCTCTACAGCTACCAAAGATATCGAAGGAAACAGTTTCAATTCGAAAGCTCTACAATCAGAAAATAAACAACTTTGTCAATGGGTTTGGAAGATTATTCAGTCTCGAAATCTATACAACATCAATCACGTAATTCTTTGGAGTTTGGATTCTACAATAAATAAAAAGCCTAAACTAGTGGATCTAATTTAAAAATTGTAAAAAAAAAGAAGTAATTGTTACTGGAGTTTGATCATTCTTCTCGAGAATCTTCTCTTTAGAAAAAAAAAAGTGACCTCTTGACCTATAAAAATCGTCACAAAAAAAAACCCCATTATTCAGTAGACGCCTGACCCGTTGAAGAAGGTCTATAGAGACTTTGACCAAGAAGAAGTCTTGCGTGGAACCAAAGTCAAACTCGGTTAATGATTGATTGAAAATCCAGGTCAAAGATTGTGTGATCAATTGGTTTAGCGGAGAATTAATTACACGGAGATATGGTTTGACATTTACTCAGCCGAGCTTCTTCGTGACCCATTCTTTTGATAATGACAATAATCCTAATGTTTCTTTATGATGAGATACAATGACTACTTATGTCTTATGCTTTGAGTCGATGTTTACATTTTTTGTTAGGCATCCTTTTTTTCCTTTCAATTTTTTTTTTTTTTTTTTTGTGTTGGGTTTGTTTGTTTGTACATAACTGTTGATGATTCGACATGGGAATTACACAGCTTTTCATTTTAGTTTATAATTGGTTTTAAAGATGAGATAGTGCGGAATCTGTAATTTTATTTGAATATATTTTTTTTTTATGTTTTACCATTTGCAAAACAATAATAATTTCTTATCTGTTGAAGGATACTCGATTGATGGGATATAAGAATTTGCAAACTTTCTAATTATGAGTGCAGGGCCTGATCTTTGGCCTGATTTTGTTTGATACCTATCGCAAAACAATATAGCTTCTCGTTGATTTAACAGCTTTTTGGGCTCCAATTTTCCCCGCAATAACAATTGAAAACTTGAAACTTTTAGGACCGGTTTCCTGTAGGATCTTCAAATTTTGCCAACAATTTTTGTTACGCTTTTACTTGACAAATTTTTCTTCAAGGAAATCGTTTTTCCTTACCTTTTTTAATTTTTATAAGACTATGGTTCAAGTCTAAACAGTTTAATACATAAAAACTAAAAGTAAGAAAATTAGTCAAGTCTGGTTTCAAATAATATATTCATATCTATATAGAGTGCAATATTGGGAGTGCAATTCTAATGCAATTATTTATAAATATATATATATATATGATAATAAGATATAATTATCTGGCTTCGACGATCACTGTTGACGCTGCATTGCTTGTTGACGCTGCATTGCTTGTTGTTGTTGGTAGTGTATTGCTTGCTGATGCTGCATTGCTTGTTGATTCTGCATTGCTTGAAGATGCAACATTACTATAAAGAACATTCCCGAAAGCGTAATAGCCTGGTGGGTTCGGCTGCAGCATCGACTCTGTTTGGCTTACGAGCATCAGCACCACCGAGGGCATTATTGGTCTATCCTCTGTACGATCTTGAACACATAAGAGTCCGATATTTAAGCACCGTTTGACTTCTTGTGATGATGAATCCAAATCCAAGATGGGATCTATGACATCTGCCCATTCTCCTTCCTTCCATTTATTGAAAACCTGTTCATGCATTTATTTTTTTATTGAAAACCTGTTCATGAAACATTAAAATTGTATGAGAAGCAAAATATTTGGAGATACTTACGTGTGTGAGAAGACTGATGCCGTTGTTCGCGTCGGCAAATCCTTTGTTTCTCATACCGGTTAACATTTCCAGCATCAAGACCCCATAGCTGAACACATCCGATTTCTCAGAGTATGTCCCATCATAAGAGTATTCCGGAGACATGTACCCACTCCATAAAAGAAAAAAAAAATTCTAAAGTTATGAACGAGTAGCTCTTTCAAAGAAGAAAAACTGTGTATGCAATATTTGTTTCGATTACTTACTAGGTTTCAACCACCTTTGTCGTCTCAACTTCGTTCTCACCTCTATTATAGATCCGAGCCATCCCGAAATCCGAAATCTTTGGGGTCATATCTTTAGCAAGCAAGACGTTGCTTGGTTTAAGATCCCTGTGGACTATCATGGTCGGCGAGTCGTGGTGAAGATATGAGAGACCTCGTGCTATGCCTTTGGCAATTTCAAACCTCCTTGGCCAGTTTAGCTCAGAGCTTTGGTTTTTGTCTACAAAAAAAAAAGTCAGATTTGGGTCAACGTACGTACTTGTTACAAAAGTCACTCAACTTCAGTATCCTCACCGAATAGATGGATATCAAGGCTCCTGTTCTCCAAGTATTCATAGATTAACAACTTCTCATCTCTGTTAAGACAGTAACCCTTAAGTTGTACGAGGTTGATGTGTTTGACTTTTGTAATCAATTTCAGCTCATTCTTGAACTCATTGATCCCTTGACCAGATATACCTGATAGTCTTTTCACAGCGAATTCTTGACCGTCAAGTATTCCCTGCTACCACACACTTTAAGACGTTACATGCAACACAAAATAGTGTCATAGATCCTAAACTTCGAGGAAAAAAAAGAAAAATTCACAATTTTATTTCAATAGGCTTTACCCTATAGACAACACCGAAGCCCCCTTTTCCAAGCTTGTTGGAGTCAGAGAATCGGTTGGTGGCAACGGAAATAGTTTCAAAATCCATCAATGGAAGTTCCAAATTCTCCATTGTGATCTCTCCAGACAAGAGCTCTGTGGCAGAGTCTGAACCTCGGATCACTTCAAAGAAATCCATTAATCAGAAATTAACAGGAGTTGTTCATGACTGAACCGAAATCTAGCAGCTAAACAAAGAGAATCAACAGGTTTTAATCTATCAAACTAAATTAAAGTGCAAGGTTTTTTTTGTTTGTTTTGACAACATTACTAAAGTGCAAGTTATGAGCCTATAGATATCAGATTGGTTGTTGCTCTTGGCTTAACCTAACATTATACATCATTGTTAAATTTGTTTACACATTAGTTGACACCAAATGTTAAACCATATAATAAAATATATTCACGCATATAAACAGAGTAATAATTTAACGATAGAAAATAATAATAATTTACCAATAGATGTTGTGGCTGCTCTTGCTCTTGCCTGCTTTTTCTTTATTCTCCAGTAACAAAACATTGCAGTGAAAATGACTATCAAACCCAGTCCAGTACTCAAGCAGGCGATTAATACAGTTTTCGGTTTCTTCTTCTTCTCTGAAAATAATTAAGAAAAAAATAAAAAGAGGAGAAAGAGTCTTGTATATCAAATACAATGTCTCTAATTATAACTATATTAAAAACTTTAAAGTTCATATATAACGTAGTAGTTTCTTAATTTGTGTAATGGTGAAGGTTTTGTGATTCTAAAAAGAAGAAGAACATGTTATGAAGCAAGGCAGACTGTTGGCTTTATGATATATATAATATGAAAAGGTTTTTGTTTCAAGTTTTCAGATTTAAGGAGAAAGTGTCTACGAGGCAGCTATTGTAGACAATTGAGATTAAGGTCGAGTATTATATATTTACTAACCCGAATTCGTAGGAGACACTTTGACATAGAGGTCTTGGCCGCGAACAGAATCTTCTTGGATATCGTTGAGCTCAACCTCCCAATACCAACATTCGTGTTTGCCTGGGGAATCTTGCATTTCCACAAACGCATATGCCGTGCAATTACAGTCATTACTGCAGAAAAACTTACAACTTTCCGCAATATCTGCCTGGTGAAAATCAGATACATATTCTGGCAATGGCAGCCTCATATTCTCGAGTCGCATAAAATGATATTCAGGGCAGTTAAGCGCAGCCCTCCTCACACAACCACCTGTAGGTTCCGGCTTCAGATCGAACCCTTCAATACAGTGGCACTGGGCTGGCGTGGTGGACTTGAAGGTGGAACAATAAGCGTAAGAACCACAGGTCTTGTTATATCCGACCTCATAATCTCTTAAATATGTAGCGCATGAAAGGTCTTCTTCATTTCTGGTTTTGGGATCAATGCCCAGCATCATATTCGGCAGTAACGTATCCTTCGGATAGTGGGATTGAACACAGGGTAGATGAAGTAGAAGAAAGAAAACGAAGGAAGCGAAATATACTCTCATTTCTCAGTTCTATTATATTGAGTGAAGCAAGACAATTTATATATGAAGACGCATTGGAAATGAGAGAGACTTATATATATTAGCTGTCATATGACGTATTAAACTCTAGTTAAGTATCAACCCCGACCGAAGGTTGAGTTAAATACTTGCAGACACTAACAATCTCATAAAAGCATGAGAACAACCACCTTGCTATTGCTACACAATCAAGTTACATGTTACTACATTATATGTATTTCAAAATAATTCTTAAATTAGTTTATATATATATATATATATATATTTACATTTAAAAACAATTTTTTTTCCAATAAATTTAACATACTTTTCGGTACTAAACAAAGTAAACTCTCCTCCAACCACATTTTCAATTGATTCATGATTCTTTACAAATTTAGCTAATGCCATAAATAGTATACTTAATAAGTAAAAATAGTATGTTTTCCACACACAAATATTATAAATACTAGACATTCACAATCTTTGTAAATTACATTCTATACCAAAATAAAAATGAATCATTCCATAATTTTTACGTTAGTTATTTTTATGTATTTTGGGTTGAATGAAGCTGCTACTTGCAACTTCACTCGTATATTAGTTACGAACCAACTCACTCATGATGTTTTTCTCAAGTTTCATTGCTATGGCAATAATTACAATCCAACGACAAAAATTAGAAAAAATATTGATTCAGGAAAAAAAACTTTACGTGTTAATCAATTTTGGAGCATTGATGTTTGCGCTGGCATAGTCTATTGTGATTTACAGTTTTTTCAAACTGGAAAAAAATATTATAATAACAAATCTATGTTATATAGAAATATTAACACTACTGGTAACTCTAAATGGATTGAACACAAATGGATTGCAAAAACCGATGGAATGTATCTCTCACGTGATGGTATGCCGGCAGGTCTCGCTCTTTCTTGGAGGCAATGAAAATATTTTTTTTTTTTCCTAAAATTTACTTATACTTATTTAAGTTTATTTTTTGTATTGCATCTTAACTAATTCACAAGATCTACAATTTGTTCAATTTAAATTTTTACTACATTATCTGTATTTCAAAAGAATTCTTAAATTAATGTATAAATATATTTTTCTGAAAATGTAATATACATAAATTTTGTATGTGTAGCATGCATGTATTTGATTTTTGGGTAGATTTTTCTTTCATTTTTAACGGAAATTCATCGTAATATGTAAAATATATATTTATACGTTGATAGGTTGTAGAATAATGTAGCGTTAAGCTCAAAAACTAAAAAAGAAGTTAAAAAAAAAAGAACACGAGTGAGTGTGGCTGCTCTTGCTCTTGTCTGCATTTTCTTTATTCTCCAGTAACAAAACATTGTAGTGAAAATGTTTATCAAACCCAGTCCAGTAGTCAAGCAAGCGATTAATACAGTTTTTGATTTCTTCTTCTTCTCTGAAAATAATTAAGAAAAAAATAAAAGAGGACAAAGAGTCTTGTATATCAAATTCAATGTCTCTAATTATAACTATATTAAAAACTTTATTCATATATAACGTAGTAGTTTCTTAATTTGTGTAATGGTGAAGGTTTTGTGATTCTAAGAAGAAGAAGAACATGTTATGAAGCAAGGCATGCTGTTGGCTTTATGATATATATAATATGAAATTTGTTTCAAGTTTTTTGTTTTGCATCTTAACTAATTCGCAAGATCTACAATTTGTGCTATTTAAATGTGTACTACATTATCTGTATTTCAAAACAATTCTTAAATTAATGTATAAATATATTTTTCTGAAAATGTAATATACATAAATTTTGTACGTGTGGCATGCATGTATTTGATTTTTGGTAGATTCTTCTTTCTTTTTAATGGAAATTCATCGTAACAAGGTTAATTTATGTCAAAAAAATATTTAGACGTTGATAGGTTGTGGATGTTGCTGTACGCAAATCTATTTTCTTAAAAAAAAATATATATTACATATATACGGCCTCCATCAAAACAATATTTAGTTGTGCGAATTTCAAAGAAAAAGTGATATTCTTAAAAGTCTCCTTCTCTAGTTATAGTAGTACTATAGAATGACTTTTGCTTCATCGATCTTATGCCTCCATTTTCGTTTATTTTTTGTTTTTACCATAAATTCAAGTCGAAAAAGTAAGCTTCCTTTGACACAGAAGTAAACTCGCAGAGATTTTTCTCCTTGAGTTTTTCAAATGATGGGCAACTCAACCACAAACACATAGCTGGGAATAGCTCTGGGAATAGAGATATGTAATAACAGCCACTTTAGATACAAGACTTTCCAAAACCGGAGTTGTTCAACCATCAAAAAAGATGAAAGTTTGCACTTCTGCTTTCCCTAATGAGTCAAGAGAAGGAGTTTAACTGAAACAAATGCCACGTGACCGCATTGAATGTCCCATTCCTCACAAGCTCCATGCAAGTACCTTTTTGTCATACCGGGCCAATACCTTAGAGAATTTTAAACAAAAGGTTACAATAGCTTTGAGGATTGATCACATAATTAACAAACCTGTACTACCATCAGGCACGTTTTGTAACAAAAAAAAACATTACGAGAAAAATTAACATTGAGACCCGAGATATATAATTTTTGTGCGAGCGGACAAATATTTTCTATAAGAGACGAACATAATTGATCTGAGAATAAATAACGTACCATTCTTTTGTTCAACTTGAATCTTTTTCACAACGGTTTGAGGATAAACGTGGGAAAAGCGAGCTTGTGAAGATCAACATTAATTCATCTTAGCTTCTATGGTTTATGTTCAATTCCATATTCAAATTCGTTTCTCTGGTTATAATTTCATTTTTTTGAGGATTTTTCTTTTGTTCTAGTGTTGAAAAGTTTTTTGTTTTCCAAACCTTTTTATTAGATTTTTTTCTATCTTGAGGATATTATGTTGACAAAATTATACGCAACCAATTATATGCAACTAATTAATTATATATATATGGCAAAAGATATATATATTGTGACATCCCGATTTGCTCTTTTTTTGGGGACCAGGTGCGGACCGGCGATATCAATCCTAATTCCCCCCAACCGCCCCTTCCAGTGAGCCCAACGCCCTCTTTAAGCCTGTGGGCCCAACGTCCTCTCTAGGCCCGTTGGCCCACCACTGTCCGACGGTCGGGAGTCATTAGTCCGGAAGGCTCGTAAAATTGTCTACTGTCCCTGCAATCACCACATGATCTTTCCCCGTGCTTTGTCCTCACTCGCACAGTACCGCAGAGTACTTCCCGGTAGGTCACTCATCTTGAGACTACTCCAGCATCAGCACGCTTAACTCTGGAGTTCTCTCAGCACACTTGACCAGAAAAGATAAGTGCACTTTGTTAACATAGGTAGCCAAATCAATTCTTATAAGCCTTTACGACTATCTGGAAATCGGGATGTTACAATTCTCCCCGACTTCCAAGGAATTCGTCCCCAAATTCTTCCTTTACCTCCACAGTGCTTGTACCAGGATCGTTCACCCTGTTATGGTGTGAGGCCACATGACGACTCCACACACGAGGTTGGGTGTCGGCTCTGATACCACTTGTGACATCCCGACCCGCCCTTCCTTTGGGGACCAGGCGCGGACCGGCGATATCAATCCTAACTCCCCTCAACCGCCCCTTCCAGTGAGCCCAACGCCCTCTCTAGGCCCGTGGACCCAACGTCCTCTCTCTAGGCCCGTTGGTCCAACGTCCTCTCTAGGCCCGTTGGCCCACCACTGTCCGACGGTCGGGAGTCGTTAGTCCGGAAGGCTCGTAAAATTGTCTACTGTCCTTGCAATCACCACATGATCTTTCCCCGTGCTTTGTCCTCACTCGCACAGTACCGCAGAGTACTTCCCGGTAGGTCACCCATCCTGAGACTACTCCAGCATCAGCACGCTTAACTCTGGAGTTCTCTCAGCACACTTGACCGGAAAAGATAAGTGCACTTTGTTGACATAGGTAGCCAACTCAATTCTTATAAGCCTTTTCGACTATATGGAAATCGGGATGTTACAATTCTCCCCGACTTCCAAGGAATTCGTCCCCGAATTCTCCCTTTACCTCCACAGTGCTTGTACCAGGATCGTTCACCCTGTTATGGTGTGAGGCCACATGACGACTCCACACACGAGGTTGAGTGTCGGCTCTGATACCACTTGTGACATCCTGACCCGCTCTTCCTTTGGGGACCAGGCGCGGACCGGCGATATCAATCCTAACTCCCCCCAACCGCCCCTTCCAGTGAGCCCAACGCCCTCTTTAGGCCCGTGGACCCAACGTCCTCTCTCTAGGCCCGTTGGTCCAACGTCCTCTCTAGGCCCGTTGGCCAACCACTGTCCGACGGTCGGGAGTCGTTAGTCCGGAAGGCTCGTAAGATTGTCTACTGTCCCTGCAATCACCACATGATCTTTCCCCGTGCTTTGTCCTCACTCGCACAGTACCGCAGAGTACTTCCCGGTAGGTCACCCATCCTGAGACTACTCCAGCATCAGCACGCTTAACTCTGGAGTTCTCTCAGCACACTTGACCGGAAAAGATAAGTGCACTTTGTTGACATAGGTAGCCAACTCAATTCTTATAAGCCTTTCCGACTATATGGAAATCGGGATGTTACAATTCTCCCCGACTTCCAAGGAATTCGTCCCCGAATTCTCCCTTTACCTCCACAGTGCTTGTACCAAGATCGTTCACCCTGTTATGGTGTGAGGCCACATGACGACTCCACACACGAGGTTGGGTGTCGGCTCTGATACCACTTGTGACATCCCGACCCGCTCTTCCTTTGGGGACCAGGCGCGGACCGGCGATATCAATCCTAACTCCCCCCAACCGCCCCTTCCAGTGAGCCCAACGCCCTCTTTAGGCCCGTGGACCCAACGTCCTCTCTCTAGGCCCGTTGGTCCAACGTCCTCTCTAGGCCCGTTGGCCCACCACTGTCCGACGGTCGGGAGTCGTTAGTCCGGAAGGCTCGTAAGATTGTCTACTATCCCTGCAATCACCACATGATCTTTCCCCGTGCTTTGTCCTCACTCGCACAGTACCGCAGAGTACTTCCCGGTAGGTCACCCATCCTGAGACTATTCCAGCATCAGCACGCTTAACTCTGTTCTCTCAACACTCTTGACCGGAAAAGATAAGTGCACTTTGTTGACATAGGTAGCCAAATCAATTCTTATAAGCCTTTCCGACTACCTGGAAATCGGGATGTTACATATGTACTAGTAAAGCATTTAAGCAAAAATTACATGCCAGTAAATATATTTACTAGGATATTACCTTTTATATATTATTGTTTAAATAATATATTAAAAATATTAAAGTGTTAATTTCATAATTTTTATGTAAATTTTTAGGTTTTTATGATTTTGTTTTGAAGCTATACATATATCATGTTAAGAAAACGTATTCTTTGGTTGAACATTTATAAGTTGATAGACCAACACTAACAAAAAGCATATATCTTTAATTTTTATTAGTAATAGAATATTTCAAACTAAGAAGAATTTTTCCTTTATATTTTATTGTGTTAACAATATAATTTTAAAATTTAAAACTTTCTCAGTTTTAAAGATTAATATAAACCAATAAAATTAAACTTTAAAGCATATGTGAAAACGTTATATTTTATGATACATATAATTTTAATTTTTATTAGTAATAGATGTTTAAAAATTGGATTTAAAGTTGGATTCATTAAAAAAAAAAAAAAAAAATATCAATATTTTAAATTATAAATAAATAATTTACATTTTTTCAAATTTGAAATTGTATTTTTTCGACATCAAATTTGAGGATTGTGTCAACGAAAAAAAGATTTTTCTGGTTAATCCTTTGTTTTCAAGGTGTCGCCACAGTAAAACATTGGATCCATCATTTATTTCTATATAAAGCTTTGGTAAGCTATTAGATTCTTATCTTTTAATACAATATAGTTTTTGCCTTTTTGCCACAGTAAAACATTTGGAGTACATATGATAAACTTTTATTTTTTATTGTGCAATAACTTAAAGATTGGATTTTCAAGATTCCACAAAGGCCCAGCAACGCAATACTAGCTTCGGTATGTTTGAGAGAATGTATGCCATTTCTGGTTTGCGTGATCAGTTTAATAATTGCGGAGGGATCATCGCATAAATGATATAAATAAGTCGAAAATGGGAAAACCAGTTATAATAAAACACAATACCAAAATTAAAGTCTAAAAAAAAAATTAAACCAACCATTTCTTGTAAGCTCGAGTTTCCGAAAATGAGATAATAATGCAGCGTTAAGCTCAAAAACTCTTATAAAAAAAAACACGAGTGAGTGTGAGTGATGCATCTGTACAAAAGCCGAATCCCTCTAATCACCGAGCAGTTGGCTGCAAGACAGAGTCATCAATGGAGACGAAATTCTGAGATGCAGCGAGGTCATGCATTCCCATGTTGAGAGACGATGAATGCGCCGAGCTCCGTGAAAACTCGTCTGATAATCCTCCTCTCGCGGCCAACGCTTCCTTCTCGATCCTAATCGCGTCTTGAATATCCTTTTGCACATCGGACATCGACGGTCTCATGTTCCCGTGCGGTTTCACACACATCAACGCTTTCTCCGCAATCTTCCACATTGACTGGAGACTGTAATCGTCTTCCGCTAATGCTGGATCGATGATCCCTCGTATGTCTCCGTTGTCTATATGCATCTTGGCCTACCCAAAACAAAACCAACAAGAGATGATTTGTAAACCGATCCATTATCTGATTTATCCAAACCGCTAACAGACCGATTAAAACCGATAATTCTCATAAACCAAAAACCGAAAACCAGCTAGAAAAATGAACTCACCCATTGGACTATGTTGCGGCAGTTGACACCGAAGTTTTCATTAGATATGGCTTCTTGGCCGGATATAAGCTCAAGAAGAATGACGCCGAAGCTATACACGTCACTCTTCTCTGTTAACTGTTGCGATATATAGTACCTTTTTAACATCGAACAATGAAGAAAAACATGTGTTAAGTTTCAAGACTTTCATCAGTTTTAAGATATGTCAAAGTTCATGGTGCTATTTAGCTTACTCGGGGTCCAGATATCCAACTGTGCCACGGACAATGCTGGAGACATGTGAGGTTCCGTCAACTGCGAATTTGGACAAACCGAAATCTGAAACCTTTGCCCTCGTGTGTTTATCAAGCAGGATGTTACTCGTCTTAAGATCCCTGTGTATGATTGCTGGGACACACCCCGTGTGAAGATACTCGATCCCTACCAACATATATCAGAACCAAGAAAATCAAGAAATGCTCGGATCAGAGATCAAATATGTTTTTGCTGTTAATGTTTTGTAAGGACCTCGTGCAGCATCTTCAGCTATCTCAAGCCGTTTAATCCAACTGATTCTCCGGTCACGTGGTACCACGCCTGAAAACACACACAAAAAAATTCAGCTTGTTAACATAAACCAAAACACCCAAAAACGCTACAATATAACGCCTTATTCTAAATATATATGTTACCATAAAGATGCTCCTTCAAAGTCCCGTTGTGCATGAACTCGTACACAAGCATATTTTTTCCTTCTTCTTGGCAATACCCAAGAAACTGCACAAGGTTCCGATGATGTATCCTTGAGAGTAATGTGACCTGAAACAAAACATGAATCACTCAGGTTTAACTACCAAGCAAACTAGAAAAGCTCAGATACTTCTTGGTATGGGTTTATATTAAGTCATCTTATCTTACCTCGTTTGCAAACTCTCTCTTTCCCTGGTATGAATTATTTGCAAGAACTTTTACTGCAATCTCTTTACCCTCTTTAGTTATCCCGTAATACACAATTCCAAAACCTCCCGACCCAATTCTTTTCTCAAACTTTTTTGTGGCTTCCTCGATCTCATAAAGTGTGAAGCATTGCGCAGCATCTCCATGTGCTTCACTCAAGGTTGATGACACTCTTTGAACAGGCAATGGACGATTCGTTAACTCCGCTAGAAATCAACCATAAAGAAAAAGGCAAGTACATTTATCCAAACAACCAAAAATCATGAGAAACAAGCGAACCAGTTTATTTGTAACAAAAGAAACTAAATACCCGAAGTTTTCCTCATCTTGTGATTCTTCTTTGCTTTGCACATGAAGATGCAAGAAACTATGGTGACGAGTAGCAGAACTGCAGCACCAACTGATGCACCAATGATGACACCGAGCTTCTTCCCTTTACCTCCACGTTCTTCAAGATTAATGTTCCCAGAGAAGCTGCAAAATAGAAAGATAGAAGAATTCACGAGTGTACCAGTCTAGATATGAACTATTTATGCTAAAAACAGTTTAATTCTGTACTTGAGTGGGACGAAATACTTACTTCGAAATCACGTTTTTGGTCAGGCCTGATGGTATTTTTCCAGATAACATATTGTTCTGCAGGTACCTGCAATCAATTATGCAGGTTAGGTGCATGAAACTATAGATTACACAACCATTTCAAATCAATATATTAAGAAGAAAAAAAATTTTCAAATAGCTTACAGTTCCTTCAGATTTGGGAGCTTCGCCAACGAGGAAGGGATCTTTCCGCTTAGTCGGTTGTCCTCGAGGTGTCTGCCAAAGAAATCATTTAATCCACCATATCTTTTTATAAAACCAACAAACAATTTTAATCACAAAGAAACTATTTTTACATTATCTCCAGGTTTGGGGACCGAGAGAAATCCGGTATTGGACCCGTAAAAGAATTCCCGTCGAGCCATCTGCATTCAAGAAAAGTTGCAACATCAATAACAAGAATATCATCTATCTATATTACCAGATTCAAATGTCTTAGATATTATGACTTACAACTCAACCAAACCAGTCAGTTTGGTCAGGTCAGAAGGTACAAATCCCGTCAAATTCTTTGTGGACAGTTTCCTATAGTTATAACAAAACAAAAAAAAAAGTCAAACAATTAACCAAAACAGATTTGAAATATGTGCATGCTTCAAAGATAGAGTGACTTACACAGCAACGACTCTTGGCTGCGGATCCGAGTTGCATTCCACCCACGACCACGGTGAGGGTAAACACGGGTCGCCACTTTCTTGACCCCAATCAGTTGAAGAATATAGTGATGCCACATTTGCCATAACAGTAGCTGCAAAAACAAGCAATCAATATTAGTCTCAAAGCTGAATCCACAACACTAAGAAGAGGAGGGGATAGTTGTGCTCACCGTCTATTGAACCATCGCTTTTCTGCAAATACTTGCTGATCTCCATAGCATTCAGAATAGGTCCTCTAGAAGAATCAGCGGTTTTGGCGAACCGAAAGTTGAGCACAAACGGAAGGGTTATGTTGGGATAGCCAGGTTCATAAATCCGGTACGGTCTCTGAGCATTTTCCTTGATGTTAACAATAGCTTTGCTATACTCAGGCTGATCAGGTAGAACTAATCTGAACTTCCTAGACTCGTCGTCGGCCAAATCCTCGATCTCAGCAAAGTATGTGAACGCCCAACCAAAACCAGGGAAGCCATCAAGATTCATCCTGTAAGTTAAGGACCCGTTTGTCCCCACCACAGCCGTCTGCATAACCTTCTGAGGTGGTCTTTCATCGCCACCGTTTTCGATTGGCAATGTAGTCGACACTCTCACAGTCCCAGCAGCAACATCCACAAGATAGTTAGCCTTCTTCATCAAATCAGACTCCCATATTCTGTCATACGGATCATCCGGATACCTGCAATAATCATTTTGTTAGCTCATGGTGGAAAAATCACAATGTGTACACAACAAACAGATTATGAAGTATATACTCACCTCACAGGGTCTTCAGTTTCAGCCCCGAAATTTATTCGAGCAGCTACACTTAGATAAAACCGGTCTTCATATTCTGTTAAATACATTGAACCATTCAGCTGCCTAAGCTCAAGAGTAGATATAAACGGCTGCCCCGTTGTGGCATTGGATAAACAAACGCTGACACTAGGACTAGAAGCCAGAAACACCAGCTCAGCCTTTTCAATCGTGGAAGCATCTGAGATAACGATGGTAGCCCAATGAGTGGCCCCAAGGGAAATATCGAATTTGGGATACACGTTGTTGCTGTCGAAATCACCATAGAGGAAAGTGGCTCTTATGAGATATCGATTCCTAATGGTCACATTGAGGCTGTAGCAGTATTTTCTTGAATCGGCAGGGAAATGCCTCAAAGTCGTGTACTGCGTTTTTGTTTCGTTAGGTGAAGATATCTTAGCGGATTCTCCATAGATCAGATGATCATCCGGTGACCATTTAAGTCCAAGCTCGTCGGTGAATGGCTCTGCACCTCCACAATCCAAGCTCACAAAACCTGATGTTATCAACAAAAAAAAGAACAAAAGTTTGATTCTTTGTGTTAGAATTCACTTCGAATACCACAAAGACTCCATCTTTTCTCTACTCTGCAATCCAACTATAACACAATTCTCAACTCAAGGACTAACCACAAAAATGCCACAGCTCTTGAGATTTATCAACAAAAGACAAAACTTTCAAAGAGTTTCTATAAAAAGCACTTGTTACAACTAATTTCGGCGAGGAAAACATCAAAAATTGTCCACAAAAACAGTCGATTACCTGGAGCCTGGGCTGATGAAGAAGTGAAGAGCCAAGTGGAAACCAGTAGACACAACAAAAGCAGTGAGATTCTCACCATCTCCTGCTCAGACAGAACTTCGCAACAGCTTCACTTACAAAATGACGACACGAAAAGAGAGGAAAGAAAGAAAAGGAAAAAAAAAAAAGTGAATGTGATCTCAGAAAAGTGAAAAACACGAAAATTCCCAGAAACAGAACCTAAAAACTAATTACTTCTGAGCTGTCTCAAAGTCTTTAGAGAGATCTGAGACTGTGAAACGATTTTGGAACAGAAATATTAAAACTACCCCAAAAACTAAAAAAAATCAAGGGCGTGAAGAGATGAGTGTGTTTCTTCCTCGTTAAGTGTTTTGCTTTTTATGCGAGCAGCTTGCCGCACTGGAGAGAGAGATTATAGAGAGAGAGGTAAGGTGTTAAAAGGTAGAATGTGGGGTCCATCTTCGACTGGACTCTACTGGCTTCGAGTTTTACATCTAACGGTTCCCGTCGCTTTAAATTTAATTTAATGGTCCAGATTATTGCGCAATTGATGTTGTAGAGGATTCTTTAGTCTCTACGACCCGCAGTCTCCACTGAAACGTTGCCGTTTTATTTTCCGGATTTATTTAAACGACATTCTCTCTTTCTCGAAGAGCAGGTTTATCTGTCTCTGAAAAAACTTTTAGTTAAATCCACATGTTTATTAATTTCAGGGGGAACAATAAATAATAGGGCCCTAAATAATAACCTGATAAAACGATAATTTTCTAAAACTATGCGATTCTGAAATATCATATATACATGGATGAATCTTACTTATATGTAAATCACTTAACTATGTATTCAAGATTCTGTTAAATTTATTCGGATATACTTGACTTTGTTTTCTATTTTATTTTGGTCAAGATACTTGACTTTATTTTGTCAACAGATAGAGTATATATAAGATTTTTTTTGGTCGTCAATAGATATAAGATAATTAGATTTCTTTAACGAAAACAAGATTATATGTTACAAAATTTTATTTGCTTAAAACCAATAAGGATTAGAACGAGAACAATAAATATTTCCGGGATTTTTTTTGGTTGTTATAACTTATAAGTCCTTAGAGTTCATTCATGGTGTTATTGACGAAATAAGATATGAATAATAATTTGAAGACAAAAATTTTAATCTTTTCTGGCTAACAATAATGTACATACCTACCATACTCATACTAAGAAATTGGCAATTCAATTTTTTTTTAAATGGCAAATAAAAGTGGTGAAAAGATCATCTCGTTGATAGTTTTACGCAAACTGGTTTGTATAATTCCGTAGATAGATTTGAATAAAATTGTATGAGATTTAGATATATATATATAAGTCAGGCTCGAACTCCATAATCTAATCCGACCAAACCAAATATTAGGTGAAAAAGTAGGGTTACAGTTTAAGAAAAAAATTAAAAGAAAATCGAGTATGATTTTTTTTAAGGAATAAACTCACCAAATATATATATAAAAAAAACTCGATACAAGCATCATATTAATTTATAGCAAATTCTTGATTAATAGTTTCTAACAAAATCTTTTGTGCCAAACATCTAATCGTTCTACTCAGTGGCGGAACCAAAAACTTTTTTTATTGGGGGCATAAATAAATAAATGAAGGCATATATGATTTTATGAATGGGGACATCAATAGTTGGCTTTAGTAAATCACACCAAATTTTAAAATTTACTGGGGGCATATGACCCCAACTCATTCAATGTGGCTCCGCCACTGGTTCTACTAGTTCTTGGATTTGATTTTTTTTGGTCGTAGTCCTTGGATTTGATTAATATGCTCCTTTTTCACAAAAAACAAATTCAATTTTTCCATAACTTTAAAAATCGATTCCAGTTACAATTTATAGAGATATGATCTTGTAAAAAGTTTGTAAAAAGATACTTATGAGAGTTTGTTTTCAAATACAGTTAGAATCATATCAATCGCAAATTGAGCAAAGGATATCATTTTCAAATGTTCGCCGAATATCCACAATAGTTGAATAATATAAAATATACCGTTTGTTTTCAATGGAGTTTGTATCCGAGTGCCATGTAGACGGAGAGTAAGTTTTGTTATGTGAACATAGTTGATACTTTAGTTGAGAGGAGTATGTCTCCACGAAAATACTGAACATTAACTGTTGTATATAATATTTTTGTTTAAACTAAATAATGGTATGACTGAACAATTGCACGAAAACCAGAATATAACTATACTATAGACAATGTTTAAAATAACAATTAAATCTTTCATGAATCATGGAGTATATTTTTGCATTGAGAATCAGAAATATCATCTCTGATTGAGAAGAGGACACTATCACGTTCTGGGAGATTAGAGAAACTTGAGATCTGAGTGATTAACTGTTTTATCGTCTTTCTGAAACATTGTCGCATCGGCTAATGAGCTAGCTCAGTCTCTTGCTTTATTAAAATGGAGTATGCTTTTTTTGCCTTTCCCAATAGGCGGTAGAATCTTCTCTTCCTCTTCTTCTTCTCCTTTTTTTTCTATAATAGATTTCACACCCTAATTATTTATTTATTTTATTTAGTTAAAAGTAAAACTGAATTTGTATTTTCTCCATTTAGACCATCTGTAGTGTATTGTTTATTTTGCTAAGATGCAAACACTGCATGACAAGGTTCTTTTTCAGCGTAAACATTCCGACAAACTAAACCATTTCTTTCGTAAACAGGTTGTTGGATTCTATTCCCAACTTTGATTTATAAAGTAGAAGAAAAGATTCGTTTAATCATTATTTAATCATAAAAATAAGTAAGTTGTAGTTCTCTTATCATTCTCGTTAAAAAAACTTAGAGCAAACTTGAAATCAGAATCTTCTATAGAGACTATACATATATAGTGTCAATGTAAGTTGAAAGACAAGTCAAGCAGATGAAAATAAGTAAATAAATATGGTATATCCGAATGATCTGTATCATGAGGACTAATGGGTCTTATATTATAATAAGTAACACTTTTTCTATAAAGATTCTTTTATCGCCTCCTCATGCATCGACTTTAGCTCAATCTAACTTTTGGTGTAATCTTCTCACTATTATTATTTTCTTAATTTGGGATCATAATCCGAATTTTTATCAGATCGGGTTTCATGACGAGAACTTGATCCAACCACAATTGACTTAAAAGTCCGACAAATATCAGGAGTGATCTTCTCCTTGTTATCTTATCATCACTATTATCTTTTTCTTTAATTTTATTTTTATGCGTTTCAACTTTACAATTTTTGATCCTAGTGGAGATGTATAGTGATCCATCCCTGGCCATTTCCAGGTCGTTCAACTTGTCACTTTATCACTGAATTAGGATCGGATAGCATGACCAATCCAATTAAAAGCTCTCTACCATCTAATAAAAAGCATTTTGTGTTCAACTCAGTGAAGATCACACCAATAAAAAAGCGCTCTACCATCTAATCATCTTCTACTCTGGTGATACGATAACTTTTTATGTGTTAACTTTCCAACACACAAAAAAAAAATGATTGGACAGATGGATTGAGAGTTATGTGATTTCAAGAACGGCATAGGAGTCTGGCCAGTGACCACAAACCAAACCAATCTGAAGTCGATTTACCTAAAAGATTTTATAATTAAGACACATATATTCTTGTACATATTGAATTGGTTTCGAATAAATGACTCCTGCTAGACTTATAAATACTTTGGGTAGTGATTAAAAGAAACCATCATTGAGTAACACACCATTTCAAATAAGATTTTAAAATGATTTATGTGATGTAATACAACTCTATAATCCGAAGTGCATGGTAACTGGTTTTCTACAAATCCACTGAAAATGAAATAGCCCATGAAAATAAAAAGCGAGCCCTAATATGAGTAAGCCCATTAGACTAAGAACTACAACCCTTTACAAACCATAGCTCTTTTTTCTTTCTGACGTAAACCATAGCTCTTTTTTCTTTCTGACGTAAACCAAATGCACATTAAGAGTATCCTCTAGCTAGAGTTATAATGAGATGAACATATGCAATCATATCATCAGTGCTGTGCGAAGGTTTATAGGAACTTAAGACAAACTAAAAAAATAGGGCCTTTTTCATTAAAAAAAAAAGTTTTCTAACAAAAAAATATAATATAATTTTAAAATCATATAAAATATTCAAAAATAAAATTTTAATCTAAAAAAACTAATTAAGACATAATCTTTCTTCCTTCTTTTTCAATAAACTTTTTCACCAAACTCTCATAATCGATGTCCTTAACTAGTTTTCTTTCTATAGATATAATAGATAGGCCATTCAATCTTTCTTGTGACATAGTTGATCGCAACTAAGACTTTATCAACTTCAACTTTGAAAAACTTTTTTCAGCCAAGGCAACTGAAACTGGAATCGTCAGCAATATCTGATAAGCAATCTATGAATTTTTTTTCCTCTTGGGCTTTAGGGTTTTGGTCTTATTTTAGGATGTTATAAAGCTGATAATCTAAACAAATCTTAATCAATTTCCTAAAACTATTGGGAGAATGTAATCTTAATCTATTTCCTATATCTATTCCTTTTTTTCTCTCTTATAAACAAAAATAAGAAAACATCTTATGTAAAAAAAGATTTCATGTCAACCATAAACCACTTAACCACCTCTTAAGAAAATGAGGGCCCTGAAAAATTAACATATTTTGGAGGCTTGAGGCGAAAGCCTTTTTCACTATATGGTAAGCACGACTCTGCAATATCATGATATCTATATTCCGTTGCGGATGTAAGTTTTGGCGATAGAATTGAAAAGTTATCTCGCTTGTCAAAAATGAAGATTTATCAGATCTTCATTAGGCATTTTTCAAGGCTCTTAATAAAATCAGAATCCATATCTAATGTCCTCTAATTTTAACTGTATAATAATCATACATTCATGCCAATATTCTATTTTTTTTTTCTTTCAACTTTGAACAATTCATACCAGTATTATTAGTCTATAAAATCTATACATACGGTCTAACGCTGTGTCGCTGCATACTTGCATTTACCACCAGTCCACAATAATAATTAACAGCAAACAATATCTAGGCGTCAATTCTACTCTAATTAGAGCTAGGTCCGATCTCTCCTAATCCTAAATAGTTTGGACTATAACATGTCTATGGCTTCTTTTTTTAGGCCATCTGAATAGTTAAATTCCAGACAATTTACTTCCTTCGAAAAATAATTAACCAACACAAGTACACAACAGAAAACACTAATTTACCATCCAATTTGATGAAATTTCTTTTTTTTTTGTCCCCATCAATATGGGTAAATCTCGAATGATGGAATTCATCTTCTTTCTAAACTTCCTTAATGAGTGTAATATTTAAGCTGTGTCTGAT